ATTCTTGTAAGTAAAAACTTATTTTTGTAATGGCTGATTTTATTTTTTTTAAGCTAATGTTAGCATTTTTACAACAAAGAACCATTTTTCTTGCTTGGTGAGATTTATATCATTTACATTTATTGTGTGTATAAATGTACAAATAAATGTGGAAGTGGATAAATTAATTACCTTTGGGTTGTTGAACTTTGACAAACAGAGAATCTTTGTTGGGAGAAGTAAGCCAAGAAGTGCAGAAGCTGCAATGGCAATCCGACCATCTTGGAGCTGTCGAAGATTTCTCAACCACCGTAGAATTCAAAGTCATTAATCTCTTTTTAGCTTTTCTAATCTTCTTCTTAGACTCACCATGATCACAAGATTCCACCACATTGCCTCTCATGATCAAACCCTTATAATTAAAACATTTCACGGACCTCACGAGCTTAGAGAGCCTCGTTAGAAGTGAAGGACCACGTGAGTAAAGCGTGTCCGAGATCTCATCCAAATGGATCTTACTTCTTGTTAGAGACACAACCTTTGAGTACCCGCCTCTTTCCGACACTATGATCTTCTCGGTCTTGGCTTGAGCCTCTGGTGGAGAAGAGCAGTAGCAAGGTTTCCTCTCGGACTCCAAGAAGTAATCCAAAGTCTTGTAAGTATAACATAGCAAGAAATCGGCAATGTCGAGGAGAGCGAAGACAAAGAAGCCCACGGTGCGGTTGAGCCACCGTGCAATGCCCATGATGTTGAAGGAGGGATTTGATATGAATCTTGGAAATGTGTTTTTTGAGAGAGTTATATAAATTGATGATGATGATAAGAGAGAGAGGGTAATTTATAGCAGAAGACAGATATATGAATTTATTGTTTCATTTAAAATTATTTGCTGTCCAAAGTGATGAATTGGGTGGAGGTTGAACCTTTTTTTGCAAACCCTAAATTAATTATTTAATTTTCATTTTACTTTTCTCATAATATGTTTATAATTTGGAATGTACTATATTAAGTTATGGTTTGAGAGACTTTTGAGGGCTAAAAGTACCAATTACTATGACTTACTAGTTTATATTTTTGTTCCTATGAAGATCTTGTTTTATATATACTAAAGTATGAATAACAAGTGTTTAACTTGAAAAAAAAAAAAAAATCCTTTAATTTGATATAATATTCATGTAAAATTTTGGGTTTTTAATTTCATTTTGCGCCTATTTTGGAGATTGTGGTATATTGGTTGATATGAAGTAAACAAAAATGTACCACGGTCGTATAGTCACTGATACACCGGTGGACCTTTAACACTTAAATTACAATGCAACTCTAAAGCTTGAGTATTGGGATATATAAACAGAGAGATAATTCCAATGCTTGTTTTCGAGTTCCAGTATGTCATATTAATTGTTATTTAATTTGTGTTATTTGGATTTTTATATATTGCTTTCATATATATATAATATATTTAAGATAATGTGTTTTCTTGTGTTTTTTTCTCAAGAATAACAAGTTCCGTTTTTAAGGCATCTTTCTTCTCGAAAACGATCTTTCGGATCAAGGATTAGCTGCATCATGTCAATTACTTTGCCTTGCCTCCGACCGAGTTCCCTCCTTCCTCCTATTGGGGATCTCGTGAGAGCTTGATTGAATAGCATGCTTAGAGCATGATTATTGGTAGTATCTTAGAAATAAATCTTAGGAATATTTAAGTAATATATTTGTAAAAGTGATAGTTAAGATATAGTATTTTTGGGTTAAGATTTTTGTGTGATTAATGGTAGGTTCTTAACATGTGGTTCTTAGAAAAAAAAATATTAATACAAAAATAAATTTATAATTATAGAAAATTTAATAATTGTTGCAAATTAAAAAAATTAAAACATACATGAGATACAATTTATAACATAAATAACATAAAGCACAAATATTTTAAACTTAATTTCTAGAATATTTTGTCCATATATGCTCGACCAAATCCTTCTTCAATTGTAGATGCATACCTCGATCACGAATTCGAGTTCTAGTGGCCATCGTATCGAAGAAATTTGAAGGCATAACTGTAGAATATGTGAAATCCACCCGTGAACTTCCTGCAGATTCCGCTTGTTCGAATTCGGTCGTATCAAACAGAGTATACCCATCTCGTTCGTCTTCTACTATCATATTGTGAAGTATTATACATGCTCGCATAATATTTCCTATTTTTACCTTATCCCAAAGAAGAGCCGGATTTTTGACAATAGCAAATCGAGCTTGCAAAACTCCAAAAGCACGCTCGACATCTTTACGGCAAGCTTCTTGATGGGTTGCAAATAAAGATGCTTTTTCAGTTTGTGGAAGTGAAATAGATTGGATAAAAGTAGCCCATTTAGGATAAATGCCATCCGTGAGATAGTAACCCAAATTATACTCGTTCCCGTTGACTGTATAATTCACTGAGAAAAAAAGTAAAACGCGTTAAATTTAATTTTTGGTTTTGTCTTTTTTCTCGCCCACTTATATTAAGACACATGTACACATCTTAACACACAAAAAACATCTAAGCTAAGATTTACTTCTTAGCCTTTTAATCATTTTTGATTTAATTTTAAATGCTAAAACCTAAGATAATTAACTAAGATATGGGCTAAGATGCTCCGTTATTCATGCTCTTACACACTTGTTCTCTTATATGAAATTTTATCATTTGATTACTTTTCCAAATTATTTGGGGAGATTTGAATCTCCCGCTCAAACCCCTCGAAGGAGATTGGGTGGTCTCAAGGTTGAATCTGACGACTAAAGATAAACATTAATTTTGTACCATCTTGGGAGATGCATTATATTCCTTGTTTTAAAAATTGCTAGGCGCTAGTCGGGCGTTCGGCATGGGCCTAGCGATTAATCGGAAAATCGGATTAAAATCGAGGATTAATCGGGGATTAGTTTTAGGGTTATTTTAATATTTTTAAAACATATTAATCTAATATTATTTTCAAAATTGCAGTAAACACATAAAAATGTATTTTTTGAGACAAATTTTTATGATTTTTATTTCAAATTTATGATTTTTATTAAAATTTGAACATAAGTTATTGTAAAACATTACAAACTCCCAATTCAAATGATTGAATAACAAAAATAAAAAGTTTTTTTATACTAGCAATCTAAAAATAATCGGGGTATGTAAGATTAGGCGGGGAATAATCGGATTAGGCGGGAAGTAATCGGATTAGGCGGAGAGTAATCGGGTGACTGATTTCTTTAAGGGATTAGTCATTAATCGAGGCGGATAGAGTGGGCCTAGCGATTAAGCGGGGAGTAATCGGGTGTAGGCGAGGATTTTTAGAACATGGATTATATTCATATGCCATCGCATTTTAGTTTTCTATTTAATGATGCATTAGTTTTTTTTATTACATATTACCTTAAGGGAATCCCGAATAAAAGTGACGTGGAATGACGATTTATAAGATGTCTATTCTGGGGTCGATATATCCATGTGCCACGACTTGAATTGAATAGTCATTACATAAACAAACAAATTTTATTTTAAACATCTTTTAACATTATATATTTTTAATTTTTTGATAATTTAATAAAATAATTTAAATCCAATAAATTTAATATGTATTTAGTTTATCTTGGTACAACAATATCTTCGAAATTATTTATATAACCGATTAAAAAAAGTATTCGAATAAATACCATCCTTAGTTTTTTTTTTTTTAACATAGAGTGTTTTCTTACAAGAAACCATTTTTAATTGCATTTTAAAAGTTTGTTTTATTTATAATTGTAAAGATTATATGTTTGGGTTTTATCTGAATCCCGACAAAGTCCGGTATTGTATTTAGTTGAAACTAACCCACATACATAAGTATATACTCCCTCCGTTTCATAATATAAGGCGTTTTGAATAAAAAATTTTGTTTCACAATATAAGTCGTTTTCGAGTTTCAATACAAATGATTTATTATTTTAATATTTTATGATTATTTATATTATGCAGTCTCTTTTATGATTGGTTGAACTTTTAAAAAGTAGATCTTCTTAATCGGCGTGTTTTTACCTAAAACGACTTATATTATGAAACGTAGGGAGTATTAGATATATTGAACACAAATGCTGCCAAAAAGTATATATACAATATTTATTAAAAGAAAATTATAAGAGTACCGGTTTTACCAGCGGGTTTTTGCTTTAATTTTTTTACAAATTAATGTCAAATATTTTTGTTGATCAACTTTGTGTTTATTAATATTATAAATATTCCTTTTTATACATTGTATTTCTTCTTTTAAAACTTATTTTATCGATAAAAATAAATCATGAACCTAAGTCCGTAGTAATAAATTGTATTTAAGTGAGTAGGAAACATTTTCCAAAAAATCGAAGCAAACTGTATTTAAGTGATTCGTTTTGGATTGGTTTTTTCCAAAATAAAACCGTGTGGTTACAATTATTTAAAATATTTTGGTTTCGGTTCGGCTTGGTTTAAAAACGTAAAACCATTTTTTAGGTATGTTATTTTTTATTATTATAATACTACTTGTTTGGTTTTCTTTTAATCAATTTTTTATATTTTTTTTTCTTTTTCTTAGTTATAAGCTACATGAATAAAGTTTCTCAATCTCATGATATTTTCTTAACAAAGTTTTTGTCAATACATGTTCGAGAAGAGGAAATAAATTCTTTGAAAGATGATATATTCATAACAATATTATGTGTACCATTATATTTGTATAGTATATTGGAATGTACTTACCGTTTCACCAAAATCTAAATTAAAGATGATATAATTCAAGATAAAAATCTAATGTTACTTTGCTTTTGAAAAAAGCATGGAATAAACTGAAAATAACCGAAATCGAGCCAAACCGAATTACATATCGTTTTTATGTGTGTTTTTTTATATAAAACCAATTAACCTTAAGACTGAAATAACCAAATTTTGTTTTCTATTGAGAATTCGAAATTTTGTTTTTTTTCTTTTCTTTAATTTTGCTCACTTGTTGATCGACATCTTGTAGTTACAATTACAGTTGATTCGAGAGAAAATATATTTACAAGACGAAAAAGGCGATGAAAATAAAGATAAAAGTGAATTATTTTTCTTGGCTATTCATTCATGGACGCATGACCTTCTCTCGTGTGATGACGTGACGGAATGATAGAGAGAATTGAGTAACTTTTATATATATGATCTTTTTAGTGTTGGTTTTTTTTAATAACTCAGATGATTTTAAAAGTTTTCTAAATCTAAATACTAATTTGGGAATCAGGGGAAACTATTTTGTCTAGTGTTGTTTGAGAAGAAAAAAATAGGAAGAAGCGTGTTCGATGAGTCACATGTGCCATTAATTAAGCTCTTTGCCATCACTCTCTTTGACTATTACCCGGTCCATCTAAAAGACAGCCTAGCCTAGTTTGTTGTCCTATTTATAACATTGATTACAAACTTGGAAGTCAAAAATCGATCATTCTTTATAAGTAACTTAAGTTTATTTTTGAGATCTACAATCATCATGTAAATGTCATAAAAGTCGAGTTTATGTGCACAAGAGGAAACAATTTTTGTGTTAATTTAAACAAAATTAAATCTATAAATAACAATTTTTATGTTACACCACGACCAACAAAGTAATGATAGTGTACGTAGAAGAACCATGTGCTATCTTTTGAACAAGTCATGCTATAACATACATAAGCAAAAGGAATGGTTCAAAAAGTATTAACGTACTCAAGTTTATTTAACCAAACAAGTCTCTTTCGTATCTTCCTACCACATTGGCAAGGATTTGAGAAAGTTAAAAATGGATTTCACTTCTAGATGTTCTCTCAAGCCTTTCAATTTCACTTTTCTTCTCCTTTGGCTATCACATTTTCAGGCTGCTCAATCTTTCACAAACTTCATATTTGGAGACTCATTGGTAGATGTTGGAAACAACAATTATATCTTCACATTGTCGAAAGCCGATTCTTCGCCTTATGGCATCGATTTTGGACCTTCCAATGGCCAACCCACGGGAAGATTCACTAATGGTCGAACCATTTCTGATATCGTGGGTATGTACGTTTATTTTAGAGGTTATACGTACGTAGAGCGTAGATCATTTTTTTCTGTGGTATATGTGATTTGACTCCTTTTTCGCATTGGATTTTTTTTTTTTACAATAGAATCTAAAACATAGACATGACTATGTTTTTCAACATGTAATAATAATTAGTAGTATTTTATTAATTCAGAAAGTTGAAAGCTACGTAATTAGATATAAATGTGCATGATTTAGCGGTTAGTTACAATAATATGAATTTAATTCGATCTAATTAAGTATCTAACAGAACAAGATCCTTGTACACACTTGAAGTCAACTATTGACAAGTTGACTCTTCTTTAAGCATGTAAAGTCATAACTGAATTGGATTGGACCAATAAATTAGTTAAGAGTTATAAAAAAACTTGTAATGTAAGAGAAGTCAAATGCTAATTCCATAAATGCAACATTCATGGAGTTTGGTAAGGAGTTCTATTTAATTTTAATAATTTAGTAAACCATTTTGAATTGGTCCTAGATCTCTTCAATCACTAAATGTTTTTCTTAGTTTAAGATGATGCCACTCTGTGTTTAATTGGTTTACACAAAATATATAACCATTAATCATATAATATAAGATAGACTAATATATGGTTTATTTGAATAAATTAAAATTAAAACATTAGGTGAAGCCTTAGGAGCAAAATCAGCACCACCTCCATATCTTGAACCAAACTCTGAGGCTAACACATTTCTCAATGGAATCAACTATGCTTCTGGTGCGGCTGGAATCTTGGACGACACTGGACTTTTTTTTGTAAGCTCCATCCATTAACTTTTTTCTAAATAAAATTCATGTTTATAAATTGATATTTTTTGTGAAACAAAAATAAAATTCTGAACCAAGTTTTTTATTTGGTATGAAACGGAAATTTTGCGAATATGTGAAAGATCGGGAGAGTTCCGCTAAGAGAACAAGTGAGTTATTTTGAGAAGAGTAGAGATTACATGGTAAGAGTGATTGGTGAAAATGGTACAAAAGAGATGTTGAAGAAGGCAATGTTCACAATGACAATTGGTTCAAATGATATATTGAATAATATTCAACCATCAATACCTTTTTTCTCTCAAGACAAACTCCCCATTGATGTCCTACAAGATTCCATGGTCCTCCATTTAACCACACATCTGAAGGTAATAAAAAATAGTACATTACTATATAGACAAAAAAAAATGCTACATATTCGGATACCTTGACTAGTCTGAGTCAAACAATTATTATGATCATTTGTTATCATCACTTATTCACTTGTGTCCAATAGTAGATTCGTGATGAAATAATAAAAGGAATATCAATGGGTCCATTTATGCCTTGGTTTTTCATAAAATATTTTTACGCAAAGAGACAAAAGTTTTCATGAATATTTTTGCAAATTGTACAAATTTTTGTTACGCTAACAATTAACAAAACGTAGACGTAAACACAATCTAAATCGGTGTTAATTGCGTGTTTAAAGCGATTGCATCAGCTAGGAGCTAGGAAGTTCGTGGTGGTTGGGATAGGGCCACTTGGTTGCATACCGTTTGCTCGTGCCTTGAATTTAATACCAGCCGGAAAATGCTCCGAACAAGTCAACCAAATAGTCCGAGGTTATAACATGAAGCTTAGACATTCTCTTAAGACACTTAACAATGAGTTAAGATCTGAAGATTACAACGCTACATTTGTCTACGCCAACTCTTACGACCTCTTCTTGAAACTGGTTTTAAACTATCGACAGTTTGGTAAGGATTAGTTTTTTGACTGATTCTAGTAACGACCCATCACTGATTTTATTGATTAGAATCTAATGAAATGTTTGGAAGGTTTGGAGAACGCAGACAAGCCGTGTTGTGGCGGCTACTTTCCGCCGTTTACATGTTTTAAGGGACCGAACCAGAACTCAAGCCAAGCGGCTTGTGAGGACCGGTCCAAGTTTGTCTTCTGGGACGCGTATCACCCAACCGAAGCTGCCAATCTCATTGTTGCCAAAGCACTTCTTGATGGTGACCAAACTGTGGCTACACCTTTCAACATTCGCTATCTTAACGATCTTTAATTACTAACCTAATATCGGTATGATTCATAATCATATAAATATATTCAATCACTCGCTTAAAAGCAATAATTTTCTTAGGAAACATCACAACAATATAAAGAGACTCTACTGATAGATTATAAAGCTTAGTGAAGCTTGTACATTACAAACTGAAATCAAAACTAAGACTGAAATAAGCGGACTATAAACTGCATTAAACTCAATACCTTAGTCACCAGCTGAATGAATCCTTAGTCTTAGCAATTTTGGTTTTGTATGAACTCTCTATTTCTTCCTGCAGACATTGCATTAACATATTATCACTCTTCCAACAACTTCATCAGAACCGTTTTACATAGTTTTCGGTATGATCAAGCACTGATTCAAAACCGTGGCCCGTTGGGTAAAAAATAGAGCAATGAGAGATTTACCTTGCATGATTTTAGTAACGGTTCTAGGAATGAGGATCTGAAGAACTTGATTGATTTCCCAAGTAAACTTCTATCTGAATCTGCAGGTTTAAATAACTGATATTAACTATGCTAGATTGCTAGTCAACTCTAATCCAAAACAATAACAATGATTGTAGTTGAGAACATACCATCATCATCCACATCCATTCTGAGGCCACCGGAATTGATTTCTTCAATTAACTGAAAATCATTAGAAGATGAAGTATAAGCTTAGGGAAAAATATCTCTATGATAAACTAATTCAGATCCACACTCTAGCGTATCACACTATTTATTATTTTACCTGTGAAAGAGTTGGAACTGCCAATGGATCAAACTCATCGCAGTTATTCGGGTCAATAGGAACACATACACGACCTGAAAACGAGAAAACATATCTTCAGGATTTGAGCTCACATCCATATATCGTATTAAGTATGAACATGAGTCTAATCAACTGGTATGATATATTCAAGAAACAATGAAAGGGACCTGTTTTGGGATGGACGCAGAAGGGTGCTTTAAGCAAATGGTTCATTTGTTTTGAAACCTGAAATAAAAGAAGAAACCATACAACTAAACAGTCACTTAACTTGTCAGCTGCTATAAGATCTAATACAGCGAGAAAATATCTACCATAATAGCACAATGGGTTTATGAAAATTGTAGCATAAGAACAAACCTCCAAATCAATTCGAGGATACGTAAAGGTGAAGACAATTTCTTCTACGCATGTCCGCAGTGATAGAGCCTAAAACATTGAATACAGGATTGAAGATGAGCAAATCTAGGATTCAAGTTTATCAAGCTAAAACCTGAGTGCAAGACAAATAAGGCACTTAACATACATGTTTTCAATTCATTTAAAACATTACACACCTTGTTTTTCTTCGATTGAAGCCTTTTTTTAAGCTGCTCCCACCTTAAACGGCTGGTGGCTTCTTCTGATAGAGATGATCTCGCAGAATTCTCCCACTTTCCTCTGAGGTCTGCTTGAATATCTGTCATGAAGATGTAAATCATTGTAAATGACCAAACTGAGGTTAGGACATAGCGTAGGCTGGAAAAATACATCAACACTCTTTCATACCTTCATCTGTAATCATCCCAAGTATCTTCTCATATTTTTCTTCGCTTGAGAATAAACTTTGATTTGCTTGTAACTCACCCTCAAAGAAATTCTTAAGAAAGTCCACATATGATCTCCTGAAAAGCCCAGAAGAAATTAGTAATAAAGACAGTGTTTTTGATATCAGAAAGGCAAAGGTGATGGAGAAACCCGTACGCAAGAAACGGATGAAGAGAATGACCCATAAGATCGACTTTTTTTGCATTGTTTTCATTTCCCTGTGTCACATAGACAATAATTAAACTCAGAGAATTTCACAATGCAATAAACCAACAAAATAAACCATAATTTAGCTCTTGAGAACACTACCTTATAAACACGGAAGTATTCAGCAACTGCTGATCTTTGCTCATTAGTCAACCTGCAGGATTTAATCAAACAAAGTTTCATTTCATAAAACACAAGATGAAATGCAGAAAGTGATTCATATACCAAGCGAAGTGAATAATAATGTTAGTAATTTTTTCACCTTCGAGCTTTAGCATCACAAACCCAACAGTGAACTCCACGACGTCCACTGAAGACCCAGAGAATATGTTTGAAACCAAAATCCTCTGCAATTGACAAGACCAAAATGAGTGACTACAAGTTTGGTCTATGATAAGACCAAACATTCTTGCACATTGACAAACACTAGATCAAGCAGTGAACTCCACAATGATATTCACGTTACAGGGGATATAAATATTACAAAAACTCATAGGGATGGAAAATCTCAGGAACACTACACACTATAGTTGTATCATCTATTTGAAAGTTAAGTAAACATTTGTGATACCTCTTAAGGAAGTATCAATGACTTTGATAGCAACTGTCATTAAAGGCCAACATTTGGAGCAAACATCAGCTCCAGAGCAACAGTATCTAACATCATCATAATCTGTTATATCCTGAGGAAACAACATATTCAAGTCAAGCAACAAAAACAAAATACATAAGAATAAGAATCCAAAACCAATTTCAAGATATTCTAAATAAGATATTAAAACTCACAATATCAAAGACTAACTCCCTCTCCACTGGAGTAAACAAATTGGTTCCACTATGTGCATAAGCATGTCTCTTATCTGGCTGAAAAAAACAATTCATAAAACTCAAATAAGCATGATGATTTCTATAACATAAACCAGAAACAAAGCTTGAAAAACGGATTTTTCGACTTACATCAACGCTATACACAGCACCAATATCAATCTTGTAAGGAAAATTCGATTTGATTGCATCTTCCATAACTGAAGCATTCTTAAAAGACTTATACCGCAAATAAACATCATTTTCAAGCGTAAACGAGAATTCTCTTCTACCAAAGTAGTATTCATCACAACCAGGATGTTTCCCATCTACAGATTCACATAAATATACAAAGTCATACAAAGTTATAACCTTTCATATGTGAAAGAAAAACACAAGTAGACAAACAAGTACCATGTCCATAAGAAAGCCATTTGTGAATATCAGTGTAAGGAAACAGATTTCCTGCAATATGTTGTTATGAGCAAAAATTCAGATATGATAAATTTATGGAAGACAACAAAAACCAAAAATGTGATAAATTTCAAAACTTGCCGTAGTAAATCCGGAGGTAATGAACATTGAAATCGTTTTCGATTTTGGGTTTTGGGTCATCAATCATCATATCTTCACCATTGTTTTCAATCTCCTCTCTCGTCATCGATTCACTATCTGGGCAGCAAAAAAAAATCGATTTTTTTTTCTAAGCAGAGATTCACAGAAACATCAAAATCGGATTGATTCATATACTGAAACCAAAAAGAGTTAGAAAACAGAAAGCTTACGAATTTTGAAGGAGAAGCTTGACGGAGAACAATGTTGATTAGAAAAATTGTGGCATTTTGATGGAACTTGAGCTTTTGGGAGATTTTGGAATAGCGGGAAAGAAGAAAGGAATTAGGGCAAATTTGGCGGGGAAAAAAACAATGGGCCAAACCGTAGTTATGGGCTTGCTTATTTAAGCCCGTTAAGTTTTGTAACTTTTAAAATTTAATTATTTTGTTTTGTTTTTTCTTAAGATGAAAGAAAAACCCAAATTTGGAACACAGTTAACGACATTTATGGTCCAACAGACTTGAATTATCTATGTTTAAACACAGTTGACTATTGACACTAGCTTACGGTTTTCTAATTACTCCTTTAAAGTGTTTCATGATCTAGTGTTGCCCCTTGTACACGTTACATTTAAAGTCATACTTGTAGCGCAAAAAAAGAAAGTTTCTTTAGAAGAATGTTGTACTTATGTTGCTCACTTGAGAAAAATCTAGCTTTCTATAGTGAGAATATTATTATTAGATTAGTGATATTTGTTTGTACATTATGGTGTTTGATTGCATGTTATCGCCTTGGTATAGTTATGGGCCTGCTCGTTTAGGCCCGTTATATTTTTGTAGCTTTTAATAATTCAAACGTAGATAAAATCAAAACTTTTCTATCATTTTCTTTTCATTTATTAGTCCACTGATTTTTCAACCAACCTATTATTTTGTTTTCTTCTTTATAGATCTTTATATTCCTTGTATCGATTTTTTTCCTTCTTTATCAAATAAAAAATAATATTATTTTAAAAAAATCAATTGTACAATTATTCTTTTCACTAAATTTATTACATAATGAGTTTAATTTTTAACTATATATTTTATAAATTATTAGCCTTGTTCAGATTAATTTGGGGTCAACTTTTTATAATTTAATGATTTTGCTGTAAATAGTACTAGATCAAGATCCGCACGTACGTGCGGGGTTTTTGTACCATACGATTTTCTAGTATAAAATTTATGACATCTAGGTTTCGAATGTGTGTATCAGTTTGAATTTGTTATGACTATTTAAAATAGATTTATGTAACAAATTACAGGATTGAATATATTAGTATTGGGAACTGATCAAATCGTTCGAGACATATGTATTCCGGTATATTTTGTATAAAAATAGTTGGGTATTACAAAACATTACCTTGTTAAATTAAATTTTTTTTGTAACATAATTTCTGTGTTTAGTAATTAGTATAGTAAGGAAAAAATATCAAATCTATACTATTAATTTTTTTATATTGATACAACTCTATACTATTAATTTATAATGATTAATATCAATTTTACACTAACATGGTCACATTTTGTTTTTTTTCTTGGTCCAAATTCAAGATATTTGTCGTAATGGGCCATATACATTCATCATAAATATTTGTGTTGGGCCGTAAAACATACAAATATTGGTCCTGACATTATTTCATATTATGTTTTTTTTTATCTCGGAAGATACTCCTTTTTGTTCTTTGTCTGAAACCTTCGACAATTTTCTAATCTGAGAAAATAATCTTTGTCGGCCGATCGACGAAGCTGTATCGAAATCCATCTGAAATCCACTTCCATCGTCTTCGCTTATACATCAATTCTTTGCAAATTATAAGATCTTAAAAGAGGTAAGCTTTTCTTCTCTTTGATTTTTGTTTGAACTTTTTTGGAATCTGTCGATTGGGTTTCTACCATAGATTTTTTCTTGTTTCATTATAGATCTTATACAACGATTGTGAATAACCCTTCAAAAATTTGATTAATTATTACCTTTTTCATATCTAATTGCATGCAATTTTTTTACATGTTTCGTTTTGTTTAAACATGTTAGTTAGTCAATCAATCTGTTTCTTCTCAAAATTCATAGTGTTAATAGACTAAATCTAATCAATTTCAGTATATCTTTTAAGCTGTAAATCTATAATCTTTTTTTTGTTTTTATACTTGTTTCAGATTAGTAGCCATATTTCGATGGTTTCTCAAAAGAAGAAGAATAATGAAGATAAGTTTTTTTTATCCAGATTATTCTATAGCTTGAGCACTTTATTGCAAAATGCTCCTGCTTCATTATTCTTTAGCAAAAAAAGATAATTAAACATTTTATTTACAAATAATCATTAGAAGAGTAAATCTATACTATTGATAAATCGTAAATTACAGATGTATCAGCAAGAATCATCTCGACAGTCTCCCCGGAGTATTGGGTGTATTGAGTCCATGAATGGACGATTTTCACTTGGATCTTCCATTGAGTCTTGAATGGTTTGACTGCATTAAGTTCTGTGATGAGAAGAGCCATTGTTTGAGAGGTATGCTTTGAGTTTGATAGCTTAGTGTGTATTGAGAATGTCGTTTGATTTCTATATTTATAAGAGATGGAGAAAGTATAGGGTTGCTTAGGGTTTAAAAAATTCCCGTCTAAGAGAAGATTTGAGAATAAGAATAGTTAAGGTATATGCTTAATTTATTCGGATATGAAGATATAGAGTTTGTTATTATTGGCTAAAGTAATAACAAATCAAGGAAATCGAATATTAAGAGATAAGTTTTCTTTAAATCATCTAAATATATGGGATTGAGTTGTTATTGAAATATCGGTTTAGTTAATTAGTAAATATAGATTTGTTTGTTATGAAAAATATCTTTAGTAATCACGAATCTAATATTATGTTTTGAATTAATGCAGATCTACTAAATGCGAAATATCGGTTTAGTTAATTAGTAAATATAGATTTGTTTGTTATGAAAACTATCTTTAGTAATCACGAATCTAATATTATGTTTTGAATTAATGCAGATCTACTAAATGCGAGAGAAATATAAAAGCCCAACATCGACTAAGCCCAGTAAGCTCATTATGCACTTCTGGATAGAGATCCGACTGCTTGCTCCAAGATCCGCTGGTAATGGATCCAAGATCCGCGTGTAATTGGCCTTAAAATTGTCCATTATACCCTCTGACGATTTCTGTTTTTTAGTCGTTGGTTTTAAATTTTCCAATGACATTCTATTGTAATTTTTTACACATTATAGGGTTAGTTTAGTTAGAATGATTCCCTTTTATAGATTAACTTGTCGACATTCGAAATTTAGTTTTTAGACCGTTTTAAGCTAAGTGAAGGACAAAAACGTAAATTAACAATCCCCTCTGCTTTTAGCTTTCTTCTTCCTTGCCATTACTTCTCTCCAGCTAGATCCACAGTAATCAAAATTCTCCGGTGAGAAATTTCCACTGAGATTTTACTCTCTCTCTATCTTCTTCAATCTCCGATATGACGCTTTCTCGAGCTCCGATCTCTGTTTGCGTACTCTTCTTGCTCTCCACTGTTTTGCCTCACCATCTCTCGCTCGGAGCTCCGATTACATGCTCTGGTATAGTTCCGATGAAACACAGGACCGAGATGCTATCGATTTTTGATTTTGGAGCTGTCGGTGACGGAAAGACCTTAAACACCAACGCATTCAACACAGCGATTGATCGGATACGAAACTCCAACAACAGTAGCCAAGGAACGCTTCTTCATGTGCCTCGTGGTGTCTATTTGACTCAGAGTTTCAATCTTACTAGTCATATGACTCTATACCTCGCCGATGGTGCAGTTATTAAAGCCGTTCAGGTGAATGATTACTGATTCAGAACTTGATTTAGTGATTACGTTAGGCATTGTTTGTTTGTACATTGCGATTTATGTTTGGATGTGATTTCATAGAATTGCCTTATGAGAAATGATTGTTTTGAGTATTTTAGGATACGGGGAAATGGCGTTTGACCGATCCTTTGCCGTCTTATGGAAGAGGACGGGAGCGCCCTGGACGAAGATATATCAGCTTTATTCATGGAGATGGACTCAATGACGTTGTTATTACAGGTGAGGTTGGTTCGGAGATTACTTTGTGTATCTTCTGCAATAATCAGATTGTCTTGTTGCTGAAAATAAGAAGCCATTGCTAGGCAGAAATGGGACGATTGATGGCCAAGGAGAACCTTGGTGGAACATGTGGAGACATGGAACTCTAGAGTTTACTAGACCGGGTCTCATTGAATTCAAGAACTCAACAAACATCGTCGTCTCTCACGTTGTTCTTCAGAACTCCGCTTTCTGGACACTTCATCCTGTTTATTGCAGGTTCACAATCTCACTTTGTAACCATCTCATGAACTTGGTAATTAGTACTTACTATATATCTTTTCGTACAGTAATGTTGTAGTTCATCACGTTACCATTCTCGCTCCAACTGATTCCTTCAACACCGATGGAATTGATCCAGGTTTTTATCAGTTTCCCTTGCACTTAATCATGTCTGTTTTCGATTCAAATCATGAATGGTGTGTTTACTAATTGCCACAGATTCGAGCTCTAACGTCTGTATAGAAGATTCCTACATATCTACTGGTGATGACCTTGTTGCGGTAAAAAGCGGCTGGGATGAGTATGGCATTGCCTACAACCTTCCAAGCCGTGACATCACCATCCGCCGCATCACTGGATCTTCCCCTTTTGCTGGAATAGCGATTGGAAGCGAAACCTCTGGCGGAATCCAAAATGTAACAGTTGAAAACATCACTCTCTACAATTCTGGTATCGGCATCCACATCAAGACAAACATTGGCCGAGGAGGAAGCATCCAAGGGATCACAATCTCCGGAGTTTACCTGGAAAAAGTCCGGACTGGGATTAAGATCTCTGGCGACACCGGAGATCACCCAGACGATAAATTCAACACATCCGCTCTTCCCATAGTAAGAGGCATAACGATCAAGAACGTATGGGGAATCAAAGTCGAGCGTGCTGGTATGGTTCAGGGATTAAAAGATTCACCTTTCACCAATCTCTGCTTCTCCAATGTTACACTCACCGGAACAAAAAGTACTCCAATATGGAAATGCTCAGATGTCGTAGGCGCCGCCTCCAAGGTCAACCCCACGCCTTGCCCTGAGCTAACCACAACCACCCAACAAGGCGGTTCCTGCGAAAACCAATCCTAATTCTCCAAAGATAAGAGACTACATGTAGATTAACGTAAGTTATTGTCATCCTCATAATCAACACTTGAGTCAGACAATCTTTATAGACTAATATAATCAAATTATATAATTAAAGTTTCACAAAACAAAATAATATTCTACTGAATTTGTTATATAGACAAAATCATCTTCTCATCATTTTAACATCATATGGATAATGATATTTATTTACCAGAAGAAGCTTCTTTAAACATATCTTAGATTCTAACACAACAAACTCGAGTCTTGTTCTTCTTCATCTTCTTCAGACCAAATGGTTAAGAAACTTGCGAATCTTTCTCCTGAACATATTCTCTTTACGCTTTACCAAATTCACCGTAATCTTCTTGGAGCTATCATCCTCTTCCGTCGCGAAGCCCCCGACAAAGATCTTGATCGCCGGAATATCTGCGTCTGTACCTGTCGCCTTGACTTCTTCGCCGGAGAAGATCATGTCGTTGCCGTAAGAGATCTGAAGACCACGTCCCAACAGCTCGTGGCGCGGTCGGCGTTTGAAAGGAGCCGTCATCGTCAACGGACGTCTAGGGAAATGACGATTGATCGGATGGAAATTGACGAAATTCACCGGCACTGTGACCTCATCGGATCCGGGAAGGGTGGGATTTGTGGAATCTGGGTCAGGTTCGGCTGATGAAGTGGTTAGGCTTTCGTCGATGATGTCATTTTCCGGCTTGGTAGAAGCGACGGAGAGAGCCAACGTGAGGAACAAAAGAACGGTGACGGTGACGGTAACGGTGAGCGAGGCCATTGTTGTGACTTGTGAAGAAGGAAATCTGCATTGTGGAGGTTTTGATAAACGGTGTTAAACTATTATTAACGTTTTCTAAAATCGATAAAAATAGTTTTGGGCCTGTTTTTATTTTGGAAGCCCAAGTTTTAATGGATTCAGTATTATTTGTTGGCCCAATTAATTTGGCGCGAAAATCAAATCCTTTTTAGGGATTGGAGTCTACTGTTGTCTGAGTTTTCTAGGTTCCTCTATGGCTTCACGGAGGAAAAGAAGAAAGGAGAATGAAGCATCATGTACTGATAAACAAGAGATTGCATGTTCGCCGGTCGTCGTATTCGCTCACGGTGCCGGTGCTCCCTCTTCTTCCGACTGGATGATTAGGTACTACTAATCTTCTTCTGTTTGAATGTTTTAGACACAGAGATTAGTCTGAATTTTGCTCTATATTTGTTGGTGGGTTTGGTTTAGATGGAAAGAAATGTTAAAGAAGACATTAGAAGCTGTTGAAGTGGTCACATTTGACTATCCTTGTGAGTTAATTTTGTGTGAATCGTAAAATTTGATTATTTTTACTTGAAGCTTGAAGTGATTTTGGACTTGATGTGTAGATCTTGCTGATGGGAAAAGAAGAGTTGCTCCGAAAGCGGAGAAATTGATTGAGTTTCATTTGGATGTTGTTAAAGAAACTGCTGCTAAATTCCTTGGTCATCCTTTGATATTAGCTGGCAAATCTATGGGTTCTAGGTACACTTCTTCTTGTGTCCAGCTCAGGCATGTTGTTTTGTCGCATATGTTTCGATGTTGAGTGTGATCTTATTATCACTTGCAGAGTAAGCTGTATGGTTTCAGCTGTGAATGAAGATGTTCCAGTTTCGGCTGTGATATGTTTAGGATATCCACTTAAGGTTTGCGCTTATGACCATGAAAAGCTGATTTCTTTTTCCTGTTATGTATGAATGACCAATTGAATGATATATGTCGTTTTCAGGGCGCGAAAGGTGTGATAAGAGACGAGACCTTGCTGGAAATGGGAGTCCCTGTGATGTTTGTGCAGGTATACTATGAATAATGTAACAAAACTCTATGTTGTTGCACATGAATGATTAAGGAAATAATTGGATCTTTGGATTGTAAAATGGTTTTTGTATCAAAAGGGAAGCAAAGATCCGATGTGTCCTCTGGATAAGCTAGAAGCTGTTTGTAACAAAATGAAAGCTGTGACTGAGATTCATGTGATTGATGGTGGAGATCACTCCTTCAAGATTGGGAAGAAACACCTTGAAACAAAGGAGTTAACACAAGATGAAGTCGAAGATGTCGCTCTCAAAGCAATATCAGCTTTTGTCTCCAAATCTCTTGCTCAAAGCTCATAACTATAGTCAAGGTTTACAGGTTTGTGGTAAACTACGTTTTCTTCGCCTGCCTTGTACATAGCTTAATTCAAGTCTTAATGGCTAATGCTTTCAATTTTATGTCAACTTTAATTGTCTTCATTTCTAATGGTAAACTGGAGTTTTGGTTAGGTAGTGTAGACTACTTTAACTAAGCATCGCTCTTGGCTTTGTGTGATGCTGCACCATTATCAGCCCATATATGTCTCTTGTATGCCTCATGGCTCTTTCTGGCTTTATCCATATTAGGATTTATATGTTAAGTCCTCTACTTGTCTGATAACAGTCTTGAGGTCAGTCCCATATTCTTCTAATCCTTTATTAATCAGAAAACTAAAAGGAAGAATAAACAAAACATAGAAATTAAGTCCTCTACTTGTGATTAAAGAATTCAAGGAACTTCAAAAGATTCCTAGAGTAGCTTCAGCCAATTGCAAAGTCCAACTTTTCGCATATAACTTCTTGTTTATCTCTTAGTCTAAAAGCTCTAAACTCAATCCAAGATTCTCTTGTTTCTGCTGTTTGTTCTTTCTTTTTTCTCTTTTGTTGGTTTACCGTCCCTTAATGACTTGTGTTTAATGTTCTCCTTTTGACTGAGAAAATAGTAAAATTCTTCTAGAATGTTGAAGAAAACTAGGATCGGACCCGTGGTCCACCGCGGGAGAATATTGGTTTACATATGTTGATTTTAATATTGTGCGTGTTTTACGTAGAGCGAATCGTGTAGTGTACTTATAAATATTCATAATAACGAATTGTAAAGAAAATATTCAATTGTTTATAATTAAACCGTTCATAGTAATTATGATTACAAAATGGAATTTTATGTTTTAGAATTCTAAAATTAGACGATTCATAGGAATTAGAGCAGTCAAATTAGGTCAAAAACCGTGGGTCGAGCCCAAATCATCTCACTATGGGGCAGATTTGTGAAAATATATTAAACCCGTAAATAAACGGGCCACATGGATTGATTCGCAGTGGATCATAGGTTTTAATCGGTTTTCGTCCGCAGGTTAGCGGATCAGCCCGCATGTTAGTATTTATTGATAAAAATATAATTTATTCAACATTTGGTAATTTTAAAAATTTTTAATAAAAGAAATTATAATATTTATAAATATAATGAGATATAAAATCATTTTCTCTAAATTTTCTTTATTTATTTATTTTAGTAGTATTTTAAATTTTCGTTACTTTAAAATTATTTAAAATAAATCCACAGAAAACCCCGCAAATCAGCATACATTTGCAGGACGGGTTTGTGTTTCATATATGCTATCTACGGGTCGTGTGAACCGACTAACTATATGTCAAAATATATTTTGCCTATCACAAAACAGGCTTAACGGGATGAATCAACTCGCTTTGACAGCTCTAATGAAAATATTATTTAGTCTTACAACAAAATAGAGTTTGGACATAGGAATAATAGAATCTATATCTTATTTGTTATATGAGAGATTGAAACTTTGAAAGGTGAAATATAACGATTAAAAATTAATTTTTTTTTCTATGATTCGCAAAATTTAATAAATATTTATCATCTTGTTGAATAATTAAACGTCTTTGGTAAGCTTTAAGTATGAAAATACCATAATTTCGATTTAATCTAATTAAATTAAAATTAGTTACATGGATTTCATATCTATTTAGTTTACACGACCAAAATAAAAATATCTAATTAATTTATAAAATAGATAGGTTAGTTGTGATAAATTTTCTAGAAATCTTTTGAAGCAAGTAAGATATCTTTCAATTAATGATAATTGGCTAAAATAAGCAAAATTAATGACAAAAACGTTGATTATTATGGAATTAGTTTCAAAAATATATGAACAAATATATTATACGTAATTAATGTACTGCTGATTGTTCTTTCTTTTTTCTTTTTTGTTGGTTTACCGTCCCTTAATGACTTGTGTTTAATGTTCTCCTTTTGACTGAGAAAATAGTAAAATTCTTCTAGAATGTTGAAGAAAATTAGTACTACTCATTGCTTAATGGATCACAGTACTTGCTACTATACATTAAACAGATTAAATCTGGTTCATGAATTGGGCCCTTCATGAAAACTAATTGCCCAATACATATATATATTAAAAAAAAAAACACTTTCACTAAAAAAAAAAGTTATCTACTACCAATATTTTGGAAAAAAAACAAATGTTATTTACAACTTTATTTTATTTCTAAATATTTTTCATAATTACTGATAAAAATATCTATAAAGTACTTTTAATATTTCTTACAAAATAATTCGTATGAGTTATTTTAAGACTATTTTTGGGATTTTTTAATTTTAATACATTTTAAAAATGAAAATTATATAGATTTCAACATATTTTTACAGTATTTCATAAGGCTGGGTGTTTGGATATCCGCTCGGATTCGGTTTGGGTTTTCGGATTTTAGGATTTAGACCTTTAGGAACCGTACGGGTATTTTATCTGTCCGGTTTGGGTTTGGTTCGGGTTCGGATATCCAAAATACTGAAAGAAACAAATTTGGTTAGATTTGAATTTTTTTTTGTTAAATTTTGATAAACGTAACTAAAAATTTCAGATATTTCGGTTATTTTGGATATTTTAGTTATTTTGATATAAAAATAATTTATTTTTTATTTATTTATAATTATAATTCATTTTTGGTTAAATCTACCTAAAAGTATCTAAAACTCCAGTTTACTCAAATAGCGAAACAGTGAACACCAACTTATTGAATTTAAATCGCAATTACAAAAATTAATTGAATTTGATAAATTGGGTTGAAATTTATAGATTGGGTGGAATTAGAAAGAATAAGAAGAGTAGAGGGTGAATTGGTAGAGGTCAAAAGTATAGAGTAATCCTAGTTGAACGCATATAGTACATTGTGGATTGTTACGGGCAGACCCAAAATTATCCAATTACTCAAAAAATCCAGTAAAAAAAAACTAAAACTATTTAAAGATATCCAAATTAACCGAAAATATAGGTAATTGAATTACCCAAACTATTTAAAATATCCAAAATTTAATGAAATAGCACAAAACTAGGTAAAATGAGTTAATGATTTTTAATTAGGTTCGAGTTTTTTCGGGTACTCGTTTGGATTCAGGTTCGGATTAGATTTTTTCGGGTACCCGAATTTCCGGCCTCTAAAACCCGTTCGAATATTTTCAAAGATCAGGTTTAGCTTCGGATCGAGTATTTCATATGAAATTTATTTATAATATTTTACTTTTAACATCTTTAGAGCTATTTTTCTAGTTTTTTATGTAAATATAGATTAAAATAAAAGCGGCCAGTGTTAATTTATTCTCCAAATTATATTAAACCAAAGTATTTACTGAAATTTTCAGTCAATGCTAAAATGAAAAATCTATTCCTTTTTAGGAAATAAATCCTAGTAATTAAACGATATTTCTCTTCTGTATTAATATACGTCTCTATTAATTTCAAAACATAATCTTAAATCTATTAGCTCCGCCTCTCATTTTTTATTTTCTTTATCTTGCAAAACAACCAAAAGACATGACGACAACGTTCGAGAAAATCTGTCAATAATCTCGAAGCGAGGTAGTAGTGCTTACTCGAAAAAGGTAAAAATCTCATATCATCGAACTCTTTTAATATTTCAAGATTTTTGTTCGTTTCTTGGGTTGTAGATAGTGGTGGGCACGAATTCGATACCCTGAAAATTTGGTATACTCATATCCGGATTCGTTAGATCCATGAAACAATTAACCGGATCCACCACTATCTGAATCCGCAAAAAAAAACTATAGTTGAATTAAAAATAAAATATCATATAAATATTTCAAAAAAAAAAATCAAGAATATTGTAGATATTTTTATTGTTTTCAATTTTGAAAATTACACAAACTTTTCAATATATATATTTCTTAAATATATTTCAAAGCACATATTATTATTATTATTATTATTATTATTATTATTATTATTATTATTATTATTATTATTATTATTGGTATTATTATTATTTTTTTTTATTTTTTTTTCTAAGCACATACAGTATTAAATTCTAAACATATAGGAATCACACGATATTAAATTTTACGAAAAAATGAAACTTATAAAATTTTATAGAAGAATTTAAACGTGTTTTTAATAAACCTTGAATGTTTTCTTGGACCTCACTGAAAGTCATGTTGATCTTTGTATCAGAAAATGGGTTCGAAAAAGAAGGACTTTGGTGGTTGTAGAGATATAATCAGCGATTTACCAGACGCAGTGATTTGTCACATATTATCATTCCTTCCAACTAAAGAAGCTGCTTCAACTACCGTTCTTGCCAAAAGATGGAAGCCTTTGCTTCGGTGTGTACCCAGTCTTGAGTTTGATGACTCTTTGTGTTTCCATCCTCCAATGACTTACGAAGAAAGGAGCACGAATGCTAGAAGTTTTATGCGGTTCGTGGATGGGGTGGCTTTGCAAGGGAATGCTAAGATCAACAGATTCCACTTTAAGGGTGAAGATATCATCGATCAAATGTGGGTGCTTGAAATGATACCAAATGTGTTGAAACGTGGTGTATCAGATCTTGATCTAGACATCTCTTCGATTTGGGATAGTTTTGACTCGATGTTTTATCATCTGCCTCCAAAGATCTTTGTGAGCGAGACATTGGTTAGGCTAAAATTAAAATTTGTACAAGGCGTCAACATTAGTGTGGAAGGTGATGTTTCTCTTCCAATTTCCAAGATTCTCCATCTTGATTATTTCAAGATAGTAACGGCCTAACGGGTACGTTTAACAAGCTTCTTTCTGGTTGTCACGCGCTCGAAGAATTATTGCTGTATAATTTGATGTGGGATAAGTCTTTGGAGCCTGGACCTTTCTTTGTGAATGTGTCTATCCCAACTCTCAAGAGACTAACGTTTCGTCGTTTTGAAGAGTTTGATGAGGCTGAAGATTTTAACAAAAGTGTGTCACTGTCAATATTCGAGAATCCAAATCTGGTTTACATAGAATATATTGATTCTATTGCGGATAGGTATCAACAAGTGAGTTTTGATTCGCTTGTTGAAGCTAGTCTCGGACTCCGGCTGAGATCTGATCTGGTCTATAACCAAAGGTATCATGAAACAGAATATTCTATGTCATTCAAGGAAAAGAGTAATGTAACAACTCTTCTCACCGGAATATGCAATGTCAAGATCCTCTGCTTGTCTGATAACACTCTTGAGGTCAGTCCCCCATCTTTCTCCTACTCTTTTGTTAATTACTAGTCTTGAAAGTAAAAGAAGAATAAACAAAACAATTTTTGTCGATATATATATTGATTAGTCTTGTTTTTGTTAATAGACCAATGCTTAAGGGCTTGACTTGATTTTTATAGGTACTTGGTTGCTGCCGTGATACAATACCGGTTTTCAACAACCTCATTGAGTTAACTATTGAGACTAAACCAGATGGAATATGGAAATCATTGCCTGCTATGCTCAAGAATTGTCCAAATCTAGTAACCCTTGTATTCGAAGTAATATACATACACAATCCCTTTAAATCAACCCTACCACGTTTTTCAACACACTTAGATTCTGAAACTGTTTCATTTATGTTTCAGGGAATGCATCACATATATTCAGATAGATGTGAGGATGAAGACGGGTGCTTATGCAGACATCCTACTGGGTTTGGGGGGGAAGTGGTTGCTCGTACTTGCCTATCATCAAGTCCGGTCAAGGTTCTGAAGATATTGAACTTTGGTGAAATTTGTGATGATCATGAGGACGTTGAAGTCGATGATGAAGATGAGGAATTTGTTTATTGCTTAAGGGAGCAGATAGAGCATGTCGAACACTTCATAGAGAAAATGCCGAATCTTGAGCAAGTGATATTGCACTACTATACATCAAATGATGAAGATGTGATGATGAAAGTGTTCAAGAAACTTGAGAAGCTTCCAAGAGTAGCTTCAGCCAACTGCAAAATCCAACTAATCTCGGATAACCTATCATCTAATGCGTCCGACTAAATGGAGTCATTGTCTTTAGAAGATCCTTTTCTCAGGCTACAAGGTTTGTGTAGTTGCTAAAAGATCTAAACTCAATCCTATGATCATCTTTGAAGACTCTTTTCTTTTCTTGTCTTGGTTTTAGATCTAAACTCTTGTTTTACTTCCCTTAATGACTTGTGTTTAATGTTTCTCCATTTTCTTCTTATGATCTCATCTTGTGTTTGCTCTCTTGTGTTTGCTCTCTCTTCTGCTATTATGTTCAAGAAAATTAGCACTCATTGTTCTCTTCTTGAAATGGATCACAGTTTCTTGATTATAATGATTTACTGCAGATAAATCTGGTTCTTTATCTTGGTTTCAGCTGAGAACATTGACTCATTTGTGGACCTGAAATTGAAGTTATGAACTTAAATTGTCTTTGTTTTAAGCTTTCTCTGAGTCTGAGCAATAATATTAATTTGTAGGTCAATGTAGAAATACAAAATGGAGCATTGTAACCGAACATTGATCTCATCTTGAATGTGAAATAAATAAAATCATAGCATTATGATAGCCCTCAAGAACCATATTGATCTATCTCAGCCTGCGAATTCATTACACTAAACCATAGGCTCACCAATGGGTTCCTCCGCAAACAACAGAAACCTCAAGGCCTCGAGGTTGACTTGTTTCACACGCTAACTAGATCCCCCTTGGTCCAAACAAAACAGTATAGAGGAAGAGTCAAGTAACCAAACATGTTTTCATGATTCCATCCCGCCAAAAACTTGGTTCCACGTTTTCCCGCCCAAAACGTAATTTCCGTTTTTCTACGAAAAATATGATCCCATGTTTTCCTGCCAAAAACGTTATTCCGCGTTTTCCCGCCAAAAACGTGATTCCGCGTTTTCCCGCAAAAAATGTGAATTTCTTTTTTTCCAGAAAAATATGTAAATTTCATGTTACCGCCAAAAACGGAAATTTTGTTGTAATCATATTTTTAATTATTAAATATTAAAATTTGAAATTAGATATAATAAAAATAATTGAGGATATATTGGTAAATATACCTAAAACTCACACTTGTCGCACCCTAATCGTAGGTTTAAATTCCGTTTGTGCAACGATTAGAGTAAGAGTAAATTACAAGAACCTAATCGCTTGGTAACAACACTTGAATCACATCACACTCTAATCGTTTTGCCATTCGATGGTGATATGCGATTAGGGTCATCACATCACACCCGAATCGGGTTGCCATTCTGGGCCTAAATCCCCCCTGGTCCAAACAAAACAGTATATATAGAGGAAGAGTTCAAGTCACCAAACACACACCTTCATCGCCTTCTATAATTAATGTAGATGAAATCGATTCAAGAATGTTGGTGTTCTTGTGTAGACTGGAGATTTGAATCAATTGATTCAAGAATCAAATATCTTTACAAAGTGAAGATAGATGTATCATGTATGTATGTGTTAGACGTCACAGTTGGTTCTTTATAATTGTATCTCTGCTTTTGCATTTGCATGGTACAATCATGTGTATGTTTTTAGATGAAATAAAAAATTAATCGTAAACATCAAAATGTAAATGAATATTCAAAAAGTTTAAAACTAAATAAATATCTATAATGTAGTAAAAAGTTATACAATAAATAAGAAGGATATTTTTAAGTATTTTATAGAGTTTTATTTATGTTTTATAATCTGCTTAATTAAGAAGTTTTATAATTTAATTTATAACAAATTAAAGGTGTCAAATATAAAAATAAAACAAATTTGACAGCTGTGGTGGAGATGACATTGTATTAATAGACGAAATAATTACTAGACACTCAAAAGACATCCAACACATTACTTACATCAAGGTTACGGATACCGTTGGATCAAAATTATGTTTAAAGATCACATTATTATTATTATTCATATAAATTAAATTATTGGGACTCTTGAGAAATGAATTGTGACTTGACAAACACAAAGAGAAAGCCAATCGTCCCTTCTGGCGACGATTTAGAAACCTCACAATTTGTTTGCTTCATCTTTTGTTTGTGTTTCTTGGACACTGCTTTGATACTCTAAAAGTATGTTTTCTCCATTTTCTTCTTATGATCTCACTGTTCATGTCATATATGTCTCCTTTGTTTTGGTTTTGTGGGTACTTGTTGTTTCTTAGGTTGTGTATATCTTAATGAAACCTCAAAGAACCTGAAACTGGTTTTGACATTTGGAATCCTTTTTCTTACCGGAGTTTCATGTCGTTGTTCAGGTTTTAAGTGTATCTGTCACAAAATGGGTTCGAAAAAGAAGGGTTTTGATGTTTCTAGAGATATAATCAGTGGCTTACCAGACGCAATGATTTGTCACATCTTATCATTCCTTCCAACTAAAGAAGCTGCTTCAACTACTGTTCTTGCCAAAAGATGGAAGCCTTTGCTTGCTTTTGTACCAAATCTTGACTTTGATGACTCCATCTACCTCCATCCCCGAGAAAGTAGTAAGAATAATTCTAGAAGTTTTATGGCTTTTGTGGATAGTGTATTGGCTTTGAAAGCAAAAGAGAATGCTCCGTTGAACAGATTCCGCCTTGAGTGTAAAGATGTTGTCAATGAATATCGGGTGTTGAATTGGATATCCAAAGTGTTGAAACGTGGTGTATCAGTTCTTGATCTATGCATCCCTTCGTCTTGGGATGGTATGGACTCTTTTTATACTCTTCCACAAGATATCTTTGTGAGCAAGACATTGGTTAGACTGAAGATAAGATTTGAAGATGGCGTTGGCATTGATGTGGAAGGTGATGTTTCTCTTCCGAAGCTCAAGATACTCCATCTTGATTATTTCAAGATCGATACGAGTACGTTTAACAAGCTTCTTTCTGGTTGTCACGTGCTCGAAGAATTAGTGCTGGTTGATTTGATATGGGACGATTCTCGGGTTAGTTTGATGTCGCGGGAGCTTTGTTCTGTTACCGTGTCTATCCCAACACTCAGGATACTGAAGTTTTGTCGTTCTAAAAGATTTGATGAGGATAATGATAGTGTTTCGTTGTCATTTGATAATACAAATCTGGTCTACCTAGAATATTTTGATACTATAGCGGATAGGTATCAACAAGTGAGCTTTCATTCGCTTGTTGAAGCTAGTCTCGGACTTCGAATGACATCTGATCTGATCTATAGGCCAATGTATTCAACTGACACTTTTCTGGAGTCCAAGGAGAAGATTAATGTAACAAATCTTCTCACCGGAATATGCAAGGTCAAGATCCTCTACTTGTCTGATGACACTCTTGAGGTCAGTCTCATCTTTCTCTTAATCTTTTGTTTGTTGCCACTCAAAAAGTAAAAGAAGAAGAAACAAAAAAATTTGGATATATATATTGATTAGTCTTGTTTCTGTTAATAGAGCAATGCTTAAGGGCTTGACTTGATTTGTTTTTTATAGGTACTTGGTTACTGCCGTGATACAATACCGGTATTCGACAACCTGATCGAGTTAACTATTAAGACTGCACCAGATGTAGGATGGAAATCATTGCCAGCCCTACTCAAGAAGTGTCCAAGTCTAGAAACCCTTGTCTTCGAAGTACCTTACATAAACAATTCTTTAAATCAACAGGTGCCATGTGTTTCATCACACACAGTGTTTGAAACTGGTTTCTTTATGTTTCAGGGACTACATCACAAAGTTACAAAAAGATGTGACGACGAGGACGGGTGCTTGTGCAAATTTAGTAGTGGGTGGGAGGCTCGTTCTTGCCTATCATCAAGTCCAGTGAAGGTTATAAAGATATTGAAGTTTGGTGATATATATTATGATGATGATGATCAGGATGAGAATGACGACAACGAGGATGATGAATCTTATGATGAAAATGGTGCCGACATAGAGGAGCAGATAGAGCAAGTCAGGCAATTCCTAGCGACAATGCCAAATCTTGAACAAGTGATATTGTACTACGATACACCATATGATGAAGATGTGATGGAAGTATCGAAGCAACTCCACGAGGTTCATAGAGTAGCATCAGCCAAGTGCATTGTTCAAATAATCTCAGATAACCTCAGCTTATCATCTACTTTTCCGGACTCTTCTTGAGAAGATCAGATATGTATCAGGCTAAGAATAACTAAACTCTCTTCAAGATCCTCTTGTTTCTGTCTTTTGTTTGTTCTTCCTTCAATGACTTGTGTTTAATGCTTTCTCCTTTTGACTCAGAATAGTGATATCATCTTTTGTTTGTCTTTCATCTTCTTGAAATGTATCACAGTTTGTTGATGATAATGAATTTAATTACGTTGCTATTAATTAAGCACGTTAGTGCATATAAAAAGTATTTAACAGATTAAATCTGTATATTGGTTTCATCAAGTTTAATCCTCATGGTGGATTTAAAAACCGTGCGATGAATATTCTGAGAAAATTGACTCATTCATATACCTGAAATTGTAATTTACTAATTATGAGCATAATCTTGATTTGTAAGTCAAAGTTGACATACAATTTTCAGAGCATTGTTTACCATAACACTTTTTTTTTTGGTAAGATTGTTTTTACATAACACTGATCTCATCTTGAATGTCAAATAAATAACAAAACCCAAAAATACAAATGATAGTTTTTGTACAAAATTCTTAGCATTTGTAAAAATAATGAAAAAATATTGAATTCACAAGAGCGAATTCATCAATCATCACACACTAAACCACATGCTCACAGCTCACTGATCGATCCTACTGCTTGGTTTTTTTATGAAAATGAAAAAATATTGAATTCATAATCCTTTTATTAATAAAAGAAAAAAATCTTTGTAAATTATAAATGTCAAATGAAAATGAGGACATTTTAAAAAAGTTTTAAAATAAATAATACTTGTATTTTGTGATAAAAAAAGGGGTTTTTGCAAAAATACCACTTTTTCAATGCCACTTTTAAAAAATACCCTTTTTTAAAAATCTTATAAAAAATGCTCTTAAAAATATAAGATTTACCCAAATATGTATGTAATATTATTAAAACATACACAAACTACATTTCTATGTATCTAAAATTTTATAAATACTTTATAAATACCTTATAAATGCATTTTAAATACCTTTAAAAACCTTAAAAATATCTTGTAAAACCTTTGAAAAACCTTTAAAATCTTTTAAAATAACTTGTAAAACCTTTAAAAACACCTTATAAAACCTTATAAATACTTGGATCGAGTCTTCAAATAGTAGTTACAATACATAAGTACCTTATAAACCTAATAAAACTTTATAAAAATTTCAGATTTAAAAAAGAGCATTTTTTAAAATGGACATCTAAAAGGGGCATTTTTGAAAAGGGGCACACCAAAAGGGGTATTTTTAACAATTTCCCTAAAAAAAAAGTTATACAACAGAGAAGAAGGATATCATAAAAAAAAAATTTGAAAAAAAAATAACAATTTAAAGGTTAATTGAACTTTGCTTATAATTCAGTTTGACTCTTGAGAAAAAAATGCGACTTTCGTCGACGATTTAATAAAAGAAAAAAAAAAAAAACCCTAACATTTCGTCTTCTCGTTACCCTTTTGGCTATAAAACCCTGACTGTCAAAACTCAACCGTTGGGCTCTCTGCTTTGGTAAACCTAGTAGTTTCCTCCATTTTCTTCTTTTGTATCTAGTCTTTTTGTTCAGGTTGTAAGTAAGTAGTAATGGATCTCTCTGTGATAAAGAATCGTTTTGTATCTAGCCTTTTTGGTATTTTTGTTATCAGTTAGTAAATGAAATTCGAATCCTTTTCTTTACCGGAGTGTATCTGTGTCTTTTGTTCAGGTTGTAACTGTTGATCAGAGTCTGTCTCAATATGAAATCGAGAAAGAAAGTTGTTGGTGTTTCTAAAGATAGAATCAGCGATTTACCAGACCCACTGATATGTCACATCTTATCATTCCTTCCAACTAAAGAAGCTGCTTCAACTACTGCCCTAGCCAAAAGATGGAAGCTAAAACTCCGTTGAAGAGGTTCCACGTCAAGTGTAAAGATGTTGTTGATCAATATTGGGTGCTTGAATGGATACCCAAAGTCTTGAAACGTGGTGTGTTAGATATTGATCTACACATCCCTTCGTCTCGTGGTTTTTGTGAAAACTCGAGTTTTTATCCTCTGCCTTCTAAGATCTTTGAGAGCAAGACATTGGTTAGGCTCAAGATACAGTTTCAGGATGGTGTCAGCATTCATGTTAAACGTGGTGTTTCTCTTCCCAAGCTTAAGACCCTCCATCTTGATTATTTTCGGATCGATACCAGTACGTTTAACAAGCTTCTTTCTGCCTGTCACGCGCTCGAAGAACTAGTGCTGGTTAATATGATGTGGGGTGATTCTTTGGAACATGAAGCTTGCCCTGTGACAGTGTCTATCCCAACCCTCAAGAGACTAAAGCTTTGCCGTTCTGAAGATTTCTATGAGGCTGAATTTCATGAGTATGAAGACTATGATGAGGAGAACATTAACGCGGGAGTGTCATTGTCGTTTGATAACCCGAATTTGGTCTACTTTGAATATTCTGATGCTATTGTGGACAGGTTTAAACAAGTGAGATTTGACTCGCTTGTCGAAGCTAATCTCAGACTTCGAAAGACAACTGATGATCAGACTAAAACTGACAAGATTAATGTAACAAAGCTTCTCATGGGAATACGCAATGTTAAGATCCTCTACTTGTCTAATGACACTCTTGAGGTTAGTATCATCTTTCTCCTAATCTTTTTATTGACTACTTTTGTTTATGTTAGTAGAGAAATGATTAAGGGCTTGAGTTTAATAATCATGATTCACAACTGAGTGATGCTGTAATTGATTTGGTTTGTGTGTCAGGTACTTTCTTGCTGCCGAGAAAGAATACCGGTATTCGACAACCTAATCGAGTTAACTATTAATACTACACCATATGTAGGATGGAAATCATTGCCTCCTCTACTTAAGAGTTGTCCAAGTCTAGAAACCCTTGTATTCGAAGTACTATACACACCCTTTACAACAACTGCTGACACGTTTTTTTAAATACACAATCTGATTTTGAGACTGATTCTTTTATGGTTCAGGGACTGCATCACAAATATACAGATAGATGTGGGGACAAGGACGGATGCTTGTGCAAATATGAGAATCATTGGGGGGCGAAGTTGGATGTCCATACTTGCTTATCATCAAGTCCGGTGACGGTTCTAAAGATATTGAAGTTTGGTGAAACTTTTGATGATGATGGTGTTGATGAGGATCATGATGACTACGATGATGAAGATGTTGAGTCTTGTGATGAAGTTGGTGGTGTCGTAGAGGAGCAGATAGAGCATGTCAAGCACTTCCTAGAGACAATGCCGGATCTTGAACAAGTGATATTGTACTACAATACACCAAAGGATGAAGATGTGATGAAAGTATTCAAGAAACTTGAGAAGCTTCCTGGAGTAGCTTCAGCCAATTGCAATGTCCAAATAAAAGCAAAGAACCTCAGCTTATCATCTACTTCGACTAAACGAGGTACTCTTCTTTAGAAGTTTCTTCTTGTGGTTTCTCAGCCATGGATAATGTCTTAGGCTAAACTCAATATCTAAGATTCTATTGTTTCTGCTTTTTGTTCTTCCTTTAGTGACTTGGGTTTAATGTTTGTTTTCTTCTTGAACTGGATCACATTTTCTTGGTAATACTAAAAATGAGGCACGCAAGTGCTTTTGCTTTCGAGCCACAACAACATCGTCTGAAGCAAGTGGCTTATGCTTTTTGTCCACGCAATCTATTAAGGTTTGTGACTCGGTTATCCATCTAGCCCACTCATTTCTGGGCTTTATTTGGGCCTTGACAACCCAAAATCCTTTTCTTACTATTTAACTTACAATAAAATCTCTATAAATTAATAAGTTGGGACCATAATATTTTCTTAATTTATAGCTATAATAATTTACTTAAAAATTAATATTTATTGATTAATAATGTAAAATATTAATTTATAATGTAAATTAATATTTATTAATTTATAGAAAGTTTTGTATTAATTGTTAAAAAAAAATTTAAAAATATGAGTTAAAACAATGTGATCTAAATAAAATTAATGTTTTGGATGTTATAAATTTTCTAGTTTTAGACTCAAAAATATTTAATATTTCGAAAAAATTAAATTTTTTTACAATGAATAATAAAGATTAATAGAATTCACATATACAAACGATATACATAAATTTGAATTTATAAATGGTGACATTCATTGTTGTATTTGAAAAACCTATACGACTATTAAAACAAAAATTATGCATATTCAAAATTTGAAAATTTTATAGAAACTTTTTGGCTATATTTATGAAAACACTAAAAATATTATATATATATATATATATACATATTTACATGATTATTAATTTATGATATTTTTGAAACCATATTTCTACATAGGGATTTCAAAAAAAAAGAATTAGCTTATTATCTTATCGATTATGATTAATTTTTACACTGGCCCGACTCGGGACCAACTAAATTTGTTATTGTATCGTGTTTATTAATTTATAGAGGTTTTACTGTATTCCTCAAATGTAATATGAAAGAACTAAAAATTAGTTACCTCTCCATACCACTATTCCCTTTTTTGTCACTTTCTGACTACTTTACCCATGTTTAATAATTTTGGTGAAAACAAGCAGATTAATGCCTTGGTTCTGCATAAATTGAGATTAATCCAAAATGATCCGATAATTTATAAATTAACGACTAAAAGATTGTAATACTAAGTTAAATAAACCATTAACCCGTTATAAATACATGTAACATTAAAGAATTTATTACCTAATTTTTTTATGGAGTAAATAAATTATTATCTTATTGTTATTAACGATATGATATTACTTAACATGTTATTATTATTTTTTATCTTTCATAATAATATATAGTGGTTATTAAATTTTTAGTCAAGCTAATCACGTTAACAAAAGAGTAATTATGCATAAATATGCATTTTATCATAATTATGTATAAATATGATAAATAGATATTTAACACATAATATATGAATTTCATAACTATATATAAATATGATAACTGATTTAACATGATAAATAGATAGTTAACACATAATATATGAATTTATTATGATATTATAGTAGTTAACATGTTAATCAAATAGTTATCTACACAAATATTATATTATTTGTAACTCATTATTTTGTTGTATATGATATTCTGATATAATAAATTTGTTAACATAATAAATTCATATTTATCACATAAATTATAAATTTATCGCGATACAATATGATTTAACACGATATATTTCTAAACTTATGGATATATATATATATATATATATATATATATATATATATATATATATATATATATATATATACTGTTATCATATTAACCTAGTAAATAAACATGTAACTCATAATATGTTCTTACTCTATTTGATGAACAATTTTATCATAATCAGATAAAAAAATCATCGATAATATTTTTATTATATTGCTAAACAATATGTTATATACAGAGAGACATTTTTGTCCAACTTATATAAGTTGATGAGAAAGAACTAATTATATAAAAACTATAGATATATTCTTAATTTTTAGTCTTCTAGATATATAAATTAATATAGCTCTTCTTTAAAATGAAAACGGGAACATAGATGATTCCGTAGCTTTAACATATTTCTCAAATCTATTTTTCAGTTTTCACTCCACCCTCAATCATATGACTCCAATTGTGAATTTAAACTTCTTCTGAGTGATAATTATTTACTATATTTTGCAGAAATTTACAATCTCCTTTGGCAAATATTTATATTATGTGATGAGGAATTATACGCAAAAAAAAACATAAGGATATAATAAATTGTTTTGACAAAGAAAGTTTCACTAATTTTAATCTATAAAATTATATAGAACAATTTAGAAAATGTTTTTTAGAAGGAAAATGTACACTTATTTCTTTAACATGAAAAAGGACTTCACTAACTTGTGAAAAAAGCATCAAAGTTATTTAATTGTATCTTATAAATGATTTAAAAATATTTCTGATGAACTTTAATTTAAATTATTAGCTAAAAAAAGATTATATAAATATTTTACTTTAAACATCTTTTGAGCAATTTTTCAAAGTTTATCTAAAAGATATTGTTTTAATTAATAAAATCGGTCGCTTTTATTTTTTCCAAGTTTTATGAAAATAAGGTCTTTACTAAAACTTTTAGTCAATGCTAAATATTTGTTTCGAAAAGATTATTACATTTAGGAAATAAATCTTTGAAAACCCTTGACCTCAAAAAATGTTGTTCCTCTTATATATACCTCTTCGAATTTCTCCGCCTCCTAATGTTTAACTGCCCTTATTTTTCAAAACAAACAAAGGACATGGCGACGGCGTTCGAGAAAAGTTCTCCCTAATCTCGAGACGAGGTATTCCGCGCATTAGTATTACTCGAAAAAGGTAATAATCTCATCATCGAACTCTTTCAATTTCTCAAAATGATTGGTTTTGTTTCTTGGTTGTGGATAGAGATGAGCACATATTAGTTTCAATAGAATTTTGGGATACCTAGATCCGGAACCGCTGGATGTGGACGGATCCGTGAAACAACTATCGAGATCTAGATCCGCCAATATCTGTGACTATCCAGATCTACACAATAATAGATAAAGAATATATAAAAATCTAATAGGAAATATCATATAAAATATCCGAATTCGGATCTGTAAGCTTCAAACATTTTCAGAATCGGATCGGATATCCCTGATATTTTGCACGTCCCTAGATGTGGATGATCTTGAAAGCTCAATTTTATTTCATCGTTGTTTGAAGTGAAATTGATTTGATATGTTTCATTTATAGTTTCTTAACAAAAAATAATATATTCATTTTTTGACTTGTATATAAACTTTTTTCTTACACAAGAAATTTAACATTTCGACGAAAAATAATTGTATATATTTTTCAAAAATCATATTTTATTTAAACTTCACTTCTTTCAAAATATAGGTTGTTTTGCAAATTTCTATTCAAAATATCGGATGTTTTACAAATTTCTATGAAAATTATATATATATATATATATATATATATAATTATATTTTGCAACTATTTATATTCTGCAGTCTTTTTTTTTTATATAATTGTTTCAAAACAAAACTACAGTAGAACCTCTATAAATTAATACTCGATAAATTAAGAAACACTATAAATGAATAAAATTATCCGGTCCCAAGTCAGGCCAGTGTAAAATTTGACAAAATTTGATTAGATAATAAGATAATATTGTATTCATAATCCATATATAAATATATTGTCCTATTAATATCATAAATTAATAATCATATAAATTTACACACACACACACATAATATATATATATATATATATATATATATATATATATATAATTGTTATACTAAGGTATGTTTTTAGTGTTTTATTGAATAAAATTTATTGGTCTATTGTGGTTTAAAATTATAGTGTTTTAGTATACTCTTTAACTGTATCATAAAATAGTCAAGATTTTCTGTAAGTTTTTAATTTTTGAATATGCATCATTCTAATTTCGATGGTCTTATTGCTGTTAAAATACGACAATTGAGGTCATTAATTATTACTAGCGTATATCGCTTGTATAAGTGAATTCACTTATAGTCTTAGTAATTTTATTGTCTAATATTTTTTCAATTTTTTTTTCTTCTAACTATTAAAATTTCAAATCCAAAACTACAAAATTTATACCATTCAAAACATTAATTTTATTTAGATAAAATTGTCTCAATTCATTTCTTTCTAAAATTTTGAGAACTAAAATAAATCCTTTTATAAATTAATATTTATTCATTTACACTATAAATTAATATTTATTAATTTATAAATAAATTAATATTACTATAAATTAAGAAAATATCATGGTCCCAACAATTTTAATTTATAGAGGTTTTACTGTAAATGATAGTTTGTAAAACAAAAATAAATTTCTTAAAATATAAACATTTAACATTTACGTATATTTTGAAACATAAGGATCACATAAAACAGTAAAACTTTCCCTGTTAACATAAAAAGTATAATCGCATAGTATTACATTCAAAATATATATGATATATATCTTGAATGTAACTATGCGTTAATTACAGAAAGAGTGTAACTACCGTTTTTAACAAAAAAAAAAAAAAAAAAAAAAAAAAAAAAAAAAAAAAAAAACCAATCGTCGATGATTTTCAAAGAATAACCTTTCGTCTTCTCTTTTTTTTTCTTTATCACCTTTCGTCTTCTCGCTTCCCTTTAGATACAAAACCCTGAATTTGGTTTCTCCATCCAGTGATGCCAAAACTCTTCTTTGATACTTAAGAAAGTTTTCTCCATTTTTCTTCTTATGCTCCCACTTCTCATTTCGTATGTGTCTCCAACGATTTTGGTTTTGACTTTTGAGGGTACTTGCTTCTTCTTACAGGAGTTACATGTCTTTGTTCAGGTTGTAAGTGTTCTGATCTGTTTCTGTCACAAAATGGGTTCGAAAAAGATGGGTTTTGATGGTTCTGGAGATAGAATCAGTGGTTTACCAGACGCAATGCTATGTCACATCTTATCATTTCTTCCAACTAAAGAAGCTGCTTCAACTACTGTTCTTGCCAAAAGATGGAAGCCTTTGCTTCGGTTTGTACCCAGTCTTGACTTTGATCGTCCAAGGACTGTTGAAGAGATGAGAAAGGGTTCTGAAAGTTTTATGCTTTTCGTGGATGGTGTATTGGCTTTGCAAGCGGAAGAGAATGCTCCGTTGAACAGATTTCACGTTAAGTGTCAAGATGTTGATCAAAACTGGGTGCTTGAATGGATACCCAAAGTATTGAAACGTGGTGTGTTAGATATTGATCTACACATGCCATATTCGCCTCGCCATTTTCGTCCAAACTCGGTTTTTTATCCTCTGCCTTCAGAGATCTTTACGAGCAAGAAATTGGTTAGGCTGAAGATACACTTTGAGGATGCTGTCAAGATTGATGTGGAAGGTGATGTTTCTCTTCCGAAGCTTAAGACTCTCCATCTTGATTATGTTAAGCTAGATACCAGAATGTTTCACAAGCTTCTTTCTGGTTGTCACGCGCTCGAAGAATTATTGCTGTTTAATTTGATATGGGAAGAGTCTTCAAAACCTGAACCTTGCTTAGTGACCGTGTCTGTCCCAACACTCAAGATACTCAAGTTTTCTCGTTTTGAAAATTTTAGTAAGGTTACAGATTTCAAACCGATCGTCTTATTGTCATTTGATTTTCCGAAGCTGGTCTACCTAGAGTACTTGGATACAATTGCGGACATGTATCAACAAGTGAGTTTTGACTCACTTGTCGAAGCTAAACTCGGTCTTTGTAAGAACCCTAAACAGATTAAAGATGACAAGAATAATGTAAGAAAGCTGTTCATGGGTATATGCAATGTCAAAACTCTCCACTTGACTGCAGATGGTCTTAGGGTTAGTCAGATCTTTCTCCTAATCTTTTAAATTTCTACTCAGATATTTGACTAGTCTAGTCTCTGTTTGAGTTGATGTTGAAAATTCACAAGTGAGTTGATTTGGTTTTGTTTCAGGTACTTGGTTGCTGCCGTGAAACAATGCCGGTATTCGAGAACCTGATTCAGTTAACTATTAGTACTGGACTACATGTAGGATGGAAATCATTACCACCTCTACTCATGAATTGTCCAAATCTACAAACCCTTATATTCGAGGTACCGTATACATCTTTTAAATCATCCGCTGACATGCTTTTGAAACACACATAATTTGACTTTGATACTGATTCTTTTATGTTTCAGGGACTGCATCATAGATATAGGAAAAGATATGAGAGATACTTCGGGGACGAGAACGGGCGGTGCATGTTGAAACGTATGGATAATATGAGGGTGAAGAAGGATATTGATGTTTGCCTATCATCAAGTCCGGTGAAGGTTATAAAGATATTGAATTTTGGTGAAGAAGATACTGAATTTGAAGAAAATGTGGCGGATAAGATAATGCAGGTCAAGCAATTCCTAGAGACAATGCCGGAGCTCGAACAAGTGATGTTGTACTACAATACACCAGAGGTTGAAGATGTGATGAAAGTATTCAAGGAACTTCAGAAGCTTCCTAGAGTAGCTTCAGCCAAGTGTGAGATCCAAATAATCTCTGATAACCTCAACCTATCGATGATAAAGGGTACTAATCTTTAGAAGATCCTTTTCCGGTTTCTCAGCCATGGATATGTTTCAGTCAAGCTACAAGAAGTTCGCATAGTTGCTAAAAACTCTAAACTCTGTTTCTTCCTTTTGCTCTTTGGTTTTTGTTTTCTTTATTGGATTTTATCTTACAGACCAATGAACCTTTTGTGTTCTTTTGTTGATTTTTGTTATGAATTTGTGTGTTTCTTATGTTTTTAGTTTACGGTGTTTGTAACTTGCTTGTCAAGTTAAACCAAATCAAACCTGACAATTTTAGATCAAACTAAACCAGTAAACCACACAAGTTCCATAATTTATTTAGTTAGGTCTGGAACCAAAAACAATAGATTTGTCTTAAGTAAAAAGAAGTGGCCTAACAACATTTAATTTGTGAGTTTGTGGCCATCAAGCCATACAAGCTTTGGCACAACCTGGCGGACAAAAGAGCTGAACTCTTCCCCTGAAAATATTAGGTCGTTGCCTCTAATATCTAACTGCTTCAGTTTCATCAAATCTCTAAGCACCAAATACGCATCCCAGTATTTACAAGGCACCTCTCTTCCAACTTCACCCGAATTAGAGAGCGGCGAAGAACAAAGGTACCTTGTTGTGTCCACTGGGTGCTCCCCGCCGATGAGGTTATGTGAAACATCCAACACTCTAAGCTGCTTCAGATGTCTTAGAGAGTCAAGTGCTGAAAAGCTCATGATTCTGTTGTGACTCAGATTTAGGCAACAGAGAAGCTGCATCGCCTCCAATCCTACATACAGACCCATACATAGTTAAAAGATCCAACAACTGATATAGAACATGACTCAAAAAGCGTTAGAAAACACACTACATAATGTACCTTCAGCTGAATGAAGCTCATTGTTGCTGAGATCTAACATTTGAACAAATAGCAACTTCTCAACCGCGGCTATCCGAGATAGTGTTAAGTTATTGAGCCTAAGACATACAATATTGTTCATATTCCTGTACCGAAAGAGGTGTCTGAACATGGATTCAGTGCTTGAAGTCACCTGTACATCAACATCAACAGTCCCATAAAAACATTTAAGAGAAGAAACTCAAATTGACAGCTAAAAGGAAGACTAAGTACCTTGTGGAGAAGAGCTACACTGTGCTCATCCTTGTAGTACTGGGCATGCCAGGAATCAAGGGCAATGAGATCGTTATAGAGCTGGAGGATTTCTGTATAATGGAAACCTTTAACAGCATCATCCGAGATCATAGTTTCCTCAGCCATCAAAAGCCTTGCAAGAATGAGCTTTCCAAATTTGCTAAACAAGGAAAGAACAAGAACTCAAAAGGTCAAGACTCTTTTCTAATAAATCTAGAAAGTTTACAAGATTATTTATACCTGTCAGGCAAATTACGAAGATGATCAATCTCTATCTTTATAGCTTCCTTACGCCACTCAAAACCCGCATCAGCGTTTAAGGCGATAAAAGAATTCAAATCCTTCGACTGTGCATCATCCCAATTGTTAAAACCATCCGTCCATGAAACAATGCCTTGTTGTGACGACTCTCCAACAGTGTGCAGTACTGTAAATACAAACTCATAAGGAGTGCTCAAGTTACATCCCATGGAAGAAACAATTCCTCCAAGGCTGACCTTGACTTTGTTTTCCTTGCGACTAAAGCAAGGTCCTCTACTGTCAAATTTCAGATGAGCAACCCATACACAAGAGTCCACTTGAGAGTTCTTATTATCCGAAACTGGTTCCCAAACAAGATCCTCATTGGCTTTGAGTTCAGAATCAATAGTAACAGTAGACGAGCTAACTCCACTGACGGCTTGGTCAAAGTAAAGAATCAGTGGAAAAGAACCAGACTCGGAACAGAAAGTAGTGATAATGGAACCATCTGATGGCCATGAGGAAAAGCGAAGAGGAGTCTCCATTTTAAGAGTTTGATCAAGAAGCCAAAGGTAATAAAACCATCCACTTTGGCCAAGTTCGTCCGTAAAAATAGCATTATGTACATAATCAAGTTCACGACGAATCGTTTCCTTTGGCATAAACCCATCAGCATTTTTTGCCACTAAACTTGAAACTAGAACACTGCAGAATTTAAAAGCAAATTATATACATCTCTCTCACCATCAATATAATCTAGTTCTTGAAATATGATGCATACCTACGATAGTGCCACGCAGAATAGATGCTGAAACAAATATCATTGATCATATTTGTATACTGCAACTCATCCTCTTCTGACGTCTCGGTTAGCTCCACAACAAACCTGGAACAAGAGACAAAATATGAAGAAATATGCAAAAGCTGAGATTGAAAATGTGCCCCTAAATCTCTCACCTGCGATAGTTCCAAGCGTGAAAGTTCCTGGCATTGTCTTGCTTTTTTGGATCGTCTTGCTTTTGATAGTCATTCACAAGGCATTGCTTTTGATAGTCATTCAAAAGTTGCAACTCTTTTTCTAAGGAGGAATAATAATGTCCTTTTTTACTCAAAACCCACTTTCGATGATACCAAGCTCCATAGGACTTAGGGTTTCGCTTCAAGGCATTTTGTACCTGAGCATTAACAACCAACGAGATCATGAGCAAAATTTCACATGAATCGGATGTGAAGCAACACAGCTAGAAAAAAAACACTCACGACTCTAAGTTCTTCATCGATAATAGAGTCGACCAAGCTTGGATCAGAGTCCTCGTCGATTCGGGACTCGAGGGCGAGTTTTCGATAGTTCCAAGCCGTGTAGGCCTCCGGATTGATACCTAGAAGCTTTGCGCTTAATTGAATTGCTTCCTGTGTGTAACTAGAAAACCAAAACCAAATGATTGATTGATTGAGAGGAAGGAAAGAGAAGAAAAAGACTGATTGTACTTACATCTTTTGATGGTGATTGGACATGAACTGGGACTGGAGTGACCGGAGCTCAAGGGCTTTAGCAGCGGTCTCTTCTGGCTTCGAAGCCTCGTTCCTCTCACGACCGTGCATTGAGATTTAGGGAATTGCTTCACAATGACGTCTTCTAGTTTTGGCTTCCCATCGGAAACCTAGAAACAACAATGTATAGATGATAAAAGAACCGGTCCGAGTAAACCGAGTTCAATCAAAAGTTACGATACCGGTTCAATTGAAAATTACGAAAATGATTTCGTGGGATAAATTAATGTTGTAGCTAACCACAGTTTTAACGTAAGACTCTTGAGAAACAATGCGACTTAACAAACACACACACGAAAACAGTGCTTGGATTTGATTCTTAATTAAGTAAGTTTTCTTCTTGTGGTCTCACTTTTCATGTCTATTTTGTCTCCAGCGATTTGGTTTTGTAGTGTATTTGTCTCTGTCTAGCTCTTAATATTTTTTTTGTTCTCGGTTATGTATCTTAATATAATGATTTAGATCATCTGATGTGGTTTCGAGTAGATAAGTGTTTTAATAGAAACCTCAAAGACCTTGACTGTTACTTTGTTATTTGACATCCTGTTGTTTCGAATTTCTTGCCGGAGGACTTTCATGCTTTTGTTCAGGTTATAAGTGTTGTTGTTCTGTGTCTGTCTCAAAATGAAATCGAAAAAGAAAAAGAAGGTTATAGAGATTTAATCAGTGGTTTACCAGACGGGGTAGAAGAAGATATATTTCTGGTTTCAAAAATCTCAGATAACCTCAGTTTGTATAGTTGCTAAAAGATCTAAACTCAATCCTATGATTCTCTTTGCTTCTCCCGTCCGTTCTTCCTATGATGACTCTCTTTCCTTTTCTTGTATCTTGGTTTCACTTCCCTTAATGTCTCGTGTTTAATGCTTTCTTCTTTTGACTGAGAATGGTGATAATCTTTTGTGTGTCTCTCTTCTTCTAGTCTGTTGAAGTAAATTAGCACTCATTGTTTACTTCTTGAAATGGATCACAGTTTCTTGATTATTATGAATTGCTATATATTAAGCAATGCTACTGCACTTAAAGAGTTTATTATACAGACTAAAATCTGCGAGAACAATCAAGAAACAGAGCAAAACAGAACATATAATGGCTTCTTTAGATTCCTAAACATCAAACAAATGCAACTACCGACAAAAACTCCTGCTCACTCCTGATTTAACCCCAAAAACGAAAAAAAAATATATGAAACGTGACGCTGAAGCCAATGGATTTTGTTGAGAAAATTCTGAGAAAGAAAAAACAAATCTCACTCTGTTACGTTTTCAAATCATTATTTGTGTGCTTACTCATTTCCACGTATATACCTCTGCAATCACCACTTGGGACAATCTATATATATATATATAGACTAATATGATCAATTTATAGAAATGAAGGTTAAATCATCTTCTATTGAATTTGATATTTAGACAAAATCATCTTTCATTTCACATATCTTTACATTCATTGACTAACCTTTGATTTTGGGGAATTATATGAAATAAGATAAAATGAATTTAAAATAGGAATATTGTAACTTGTAAGCATATAATTTTAAGACCAAATGAGTGCTTGTTTAAAACAAGACAATATGAATTATAAAAAAAATAAAAAAAATAAATCTTGAGTACAGATTATAGGACTTATCAAATTTTCGTAGTCCGTAGATTAAAAGCAAAACGTATAGTTTAATTATCATTATTTTAGCCGTACGCAAAGAAATCGAGGTTATGGTGGTACATAGAGGAGACATATCTCATCAAAACATCAACGTTATTGAAGACGTTGCAATGCATTAAATAAAAACAAGGTGTATACTATATACTATTATACCTACCTTTCTTTATTAAGGAACACTTTAATTGACTTATCCTATAGACCCTACCTCATGTCGTGCATACATCAAAAAATTTATAACAATTCATATTTTAACTTAAAGTTTACCTTACATGTACTAGTTAAAAATTCATAACTAAATCAATAATAAATAAAACGCGCATACATAACGTGAGTCCACACCTAATTTTCAATACTCACCATGAAAATGACTCATTAAATATGAATTGTTAATATATATATATTCCACTTATATTTGAGCGTAACTCCATCACATATTTTTCAACTTTAACACAAAACCGTCACGTAGTTTCCTTTATAACCCATACTATTGTTATACATCATATTCAAAGGTAGATAAATCGAAACTAAACGGTTACGATCGTACGTTGCATATATATCATAAATGCATCAAACTTCAATTCAACACATTAATTATCAAAAAAAAAAAAACTTATATACATTCACATACGTCCAACGATTATTCATTTCCAAAATGTTTATTTTATAAAAAGGAAAAGAAGACTCTAATCTCATAAGTCATAACATGTTTATATTTATTAATTTATATCAAATATACGACTTAGATGTATATTATAATCATGCACATGAAATACCAACGACTCGACTCGCCGGGAATCTCTCGGACACGGTCTTCCTAACAAGAGAGTTGATCTCGGGGCTCACTTCCTTCTCCGTTGACTCTGGAATAGTTGTCAACGAACCCGTTTTGTCATAAACAACGTAGTATCTATCTTTATCGCCACCGCCGTGACCCACCGCCTTGTAGACCGGCGAAGAAGGAGTGCTTAAGCTTTGGTGTTGTTTAGGTTTGAACACTGACTTCAAGAATCTCTGTAGAGAACGAGAGATCTTGTTCGAGTGTTTCTTTCCACCGGCGGAGGAGGAAGAAGAAGTTGTCGGTGGAGGAGGAAGAGGAGGAGAATACTCCGGCGAAAGTGAGATGAGAGAAGGGACACGGCGGTCGGGGAGGTGAGACATGGACATGGTTCTGGCGGAAGAAGCAGAGATGGCTGAGTCGAGTTGACGTTTGAACGAGTTTAGCTCGAACGAGTCGTAGAGAGTGCTCCCACAGTCCCATACGTGTGAACTCGTCTTCTTATGCTTCATGTTAGAAAGATTATTATTGTAATTAGTCTCTTTCTTCTTCTCCTCTTCCTTTTTGGTGTTTTCTTCGTTTTGACTCGTAAATTTTTTGTCTGCAAAATTTGTGAACTCTTAATACGGATTATACATACAAGCATAGTACTTTATAGTATAGCTAAAAAAATAAAAAATGAAAGACTAATTAAGTTTTGATCATCTCTGTTCCCACATGAGTTAATAGCTAAATCCATAAAGTTATAATATTTTTCACCCAAATATCTATGATTTGGTATATGAATGTAAGAGACAATTTCTAAGGAGATGTTATATTTTGTCTAAATTTTTTATATGTATGTATAACTTAATTAGTTGGTTCCATATATGAATTAGTTCCATATATGAATTAGTCATACCAAAAGAAGAAAGTATATGACAAGATATCAACATAAATGGAGCAAAATATTAGAAACTTACCAATTTCCACCTTCTTCTTCATCTCAAGTGATGATGATGACGATGGTGAGTCAATATTCTTAAAATCATCTTGTTTTGTTTCATTTTGGTTTTGTCGTGAACCCTCCAAGATCTTCATAGTTTCTTGTCCTCTACTAACCTCCTCATCTGCCTTTTGACCAATCACCACACACTCTTTCATCTTCTTGATCTCATCCTCCTCTTTAGTTGCCATCATCGTAGACTCTACGGCTTTTGGTTTGACTTTGATCTCCATCTTTATATTTTCGTACCAAACAGTAGAAAATGGATCGATCTATATCCCCCAAAATCTTTTTGTCTACAATAACTATGGAAAATGGAAGCCTGTGAATTGTAATCTTTCGGTGGTTGTTACGTATTGATGGGATATTGATCTATAATATAGTATATGTATGGAGAGAGAGACAGAGAAGTGGGTACTTGGTGGTGAATTATGAATGGTGTTGACGGTCTGATCATTTCTTTATGTATGTACATGAAAGTATTGCAATTAATGTTTATTAATTAAATACTTGATATTAAATAATTAATCCCACGATAATGACTTTCTTAGTGAAAGACAACAGGTTTCTATGTTTTTGTTTATAGTTTTGGATTTTTTGGCTCTAATTTAATTAATAAACATTAATTTAGACCTATTAGTGGTATATAATCAGCTCATGTTGTTAAATTAATCTAGATCTATTAATGCTGAAAGTTTCTCAACTAATTTTACTGACCCTAATTTTTATGTCACAAAGCTTAATCCATTTTTTAATTTTAATTTAGAGTAATTGATTGATAAGTTTGACCCATAGGCTCAATTAGTTGACTAGATGATTAAAAATCATCAAATGATATGGAAAGTGAGAAGTGATAACCTACCTGTACGCGTGTCTAAAGGTGTCAAACAGGCCGGCCTGCGTCCATCTGGGCCGGCTCGCGATGGGCATTTAAATTTATGAGACCGCGGCGGGTCGGCCCGCTAGGATCGCGGGCAAAAATAATATGTCCAGGCCCGCCCCGCTAAGTCCAACGAGTTAGCGGACCGGCCCGCGGGCTTAGTTTTAAATATTTTAAAAATAATTAAAAAAAAATAAAATTAATTTTTAAAATTTGAAATTAACAATTTTTCAATAAAAAAAACTTTTAGGATTAATTTTTTGTAAATCTTATAATTTTATACATTAAATTTCGTTATATGTTCACATATTTCACATATATATTTTTAAAATTATGTAAAAATATTTATTTATTTATATTAATTATTTATTTTTATTAAATATTTATAGTACGCGGGCCGGCCCACAAATCCGCGGACAAAACCCGCAATCCGCCTGGGCTTGTCCGCGAGGCCCGCTATTTAATGGGCATGAAAAATGATGTCCAAGCCCGCCCCGCTGTAGGCTACTTGGACAAAACCCGCGGGCTATCGGCCCGCTTGACACCTCTACGCGTGTCCGAGGCGAGCTTGGTGGAATTATCACGTGAATGTAGTGCAATTGACTATATATTTATTATATTAATAATCAATCATATACTAATCTATGATATTCTTAGTGATTTATTCTAAAATTTGGGTAAACTTAACCATTATTAAGCCCGAACTCTAGCGTTTACTAAACTAACATTAGCGTAGTTTAACTAGTTCTTCTAAACAAATACGTAAATCACATGGCTTTTATGAAGTTTCATGTATAGTTAGTCGATTAACAACGAAAAATGTAATAATAAACGAGTTTAACTCTTACTGTCTTACACACATGAGGCATGTAATATGTATCTAATTACCATACAATTAAAACAAAACGAGTTAGGTTCTGTATGTTGACTATTCGTGCTCGTTCCCAATCCTATCACGTAAACCTTAGAAATATTTAACAAATACTATCACTGATCCACAGCAATAATTAATTTGATTTTGTCCCCACATATATTTAATTTTTCATTTATGATGAAGATCCTCAAATCATACTCTCAATATAATACATACTCACATAAAATTGCCAAAAGATACTATATAAATACAAATCTATAGTACTAATTTAGGAGTTTTCATCCATCTAAGATGTCTATCTAAGAATACACTTAAACTATATTATTATTTTTGTACTAAAATATATTTATAATGTTAATTTAGTATATATTTATGTTACTTATAATTAATAAAAAATTTAACACAAAAAAAACAAATTACGGAAAATAAATGAAAATTTTAAATAGTAAAAACAACACTATGAGAATTTTATTAGTAATAATAATGTAATTCAAATTTTAACAGAAAAAAATAATTTAAACTGATCATATTTAAATTTTTGAATGTGTTAATAAGTTTTAGATGGAAGTAATTTAAATCCATGATATAGTTAAAAACAATTTGTGTAACTGTGTTTCTAAAGAGGAAAATAGATATAAAGTGAAACATTAGTTTCAGAGAATGATATCTTACAAAGAATTTTAATTTATTATTCACTTAATGAAAAATAAAAATTACTAAACTCAACTTAAAATTTTAATTTAAGATAAAGACATAAGTGTCACACTTTTTTGTGAAATCATAAAAGAAAATCTTGAAAATCTCAACACATTATTAATCCATCTTCTAAAAAAATAAATAATCAATGGTCATATTATTCATGAATTCTACAACAAAATATACAAAAAATGATAGATAAGACATTAAAAAGAAAGTGATATGTAATTTGTGTCGCATATCTTAAGAGAAAGGTCTATTCTCAAGTAGAACTACAAATCTATAACATGATAAAAAAAAAAATAGGTTTGAGATTTCATTATTTGAATCAAATGCTTTTAACCCAAAAAATTGGAAAAACATATTTAAAATACTCTAATTTTTTTGAAAAGACGATGTTGAAATTGCACTACAAAACTAACATCTCAAAATAACAAAAAAAAAACGGTACGCGGAAGAGTGAAGTTACATTTTTTAAGTGTTAGACTAATAATAATAATAATAATAATAATAATAATAATAATAATAATAATAATAATAATAATAATAATAATAATAATAATAATAATAATAATAATAATTGTGGATGTTGTATCCGAACAATTACGAATAAATATAGAAATGTGGGGTTTAAGCCTTCAATAGACAAAAATCGGAATAAAAAATATTTGAGAAAAATAAATTCTTGAATTGTTTACATAGTCTCTAAATCAGAAATTTTTGGTCCTCTTTACATTTGCATTCCTAATAATAATAATTGTGGATGTTGTATCCGAACAATTACGAATAAATATAGAAATGTGGGGTTTAAGCCTTCAATAGACAAAAATCGGAATAAAAAATATTTGAGAAAAATAAATTCTTGAATTGTTTACATAGTCTCTAAATCAGAAATTTTTGGTCCTCTTTACATTTGCATTCCTATGTTGTTTATACAAGAATGGTTTATAGACTATTTTTCACATGGAGGTCGGAATCCGTGCACTTTTTTCTCTCTCTTAAATATCACTCTCCTCTCTTTAAGAACTCGACGCTGCTTAAGGTCTTTGTTTCCGACTGGCGCGTGTGGCCGTGTGGGCCACTGCTTCCGTTCAGCTTTTGGGCTTTTGTTTAGTTAGCTAGCTTTGGTTTCGTGTGGAGAGATCTTCGTTTCAGTCTCGATTTTTCTTTTCCTTCCCAACCTTTCTCCTTTTAGATTTAGGGTTTGGTTTGTTTGATTTTGTTGCAGGTTTCAGTTTTCTTTTTTTTTTTCTTGAATTTCCTTGCCCCAAACCATGATAGCTCTAAGCCACTCTCTATCGGTGTGGTAGTGATTCGATTTGGGCAACCCAATTTGTTGGGTTTCCTCACACAGTTTCAACAATCGGATCTAATTAGGCGAGATCACCCTAGGTTTGAGTTCCTCTTACCGGTTCAAGTCGCTTACTTGACATCTCCGGCCATGGCGATTATGATGGTCTTTACATTTTTGGTTAAGGTTCCACCGTTCCGCCACTGAAGATATCCCAAAGTTTTTCTTCTGAAGACTCTTAATCACCAAGTGAAGCAAGATGATGGGAGTATTTCAAGGTTGTGATATGCTTCTTTATAGATAGCCTGCTAGTTTTTGCAATCTCGGTTTATTTGAGTAAAAAGAAAATTGTATTTATGTTTAGATATGTTAAGTTTTCGTTTTTTGTTTGCCTCCCCGAGTTTGAAGCTCAGTTTCAAAGGGTTAAAGTCCTGCCGGCCTTTGTATTCCATGTATTTCACCCTTGGATTCTATATCATAAATAAATTAGATGGAAAGACTATTTAAAAAAAAAATTACTATCTTATGAATTTTCCCTTGTATAGTATAGAACTCATCATGTTTCAGTCCCATCTTCAAATGGAACTCGAAATATTCCAAAACCAGATATTTGTCCAATTAGGAATAATTTAAGATACATCTCTGTTTTTCTTTGAATAAACTAGTTTGTTTTATTACTGGCAGCTTTGAAAAAACTAACTTTATTTGGTTTAATTAGTTTAAATAGTGTTCAAGGTGGTTTCGTCGTATAAAATACTATGCACTGAACAAAAGATTCAAGTCATGTTTGTACGCATAACCAATCATAGACATTGGACCAAGTCATAGGCGTTCGGGTATATGGTTCTTAACCATCGTCCCCGTTTTCTTCGGTTCTCAACTTAATGATGAATATAAGAACCGAAGAAATTTCGGTTTGGTTCCGGTTCAAGTACCATTCGGTTCAAGCATATTTGGTCCCGGTTTGATACTTTGGCTCAGGTATTTTGCCCAAGACTAAATGGACCCTTAATTGGGTATAATAATTTAGGACAAACATACAAGAATAAAAATATTCACAAAGAAATTGAAGCAATTTACCACACTAAGCAATCAACGAATAGAGAAGCGAAAGTAAATATGGTATCATCCAAAGAATGATTAATAAAACGACCGGGACAACCAACCAAAAAATGCAAGTACCGTAAGCTAAACAATACATAAAACATTGGTTTTCAGCAACACCAACATCCAAATTTCAAATGTGCATTTTAAACAAACAAACAACAATAAAATTCATTTTTTAAAAGGTTACAAATGGTATATAACCCAACGTCAATTTTGAAAAGATAAAGCTGAATTTGGAAAGGTTTGGCAATCAAATGTCCTGTTTCTTAGAAACATAACAGACTCTTATAGTGCTAGAAGAGTAACTTAATGAGTTACTTTACCTATGTAGGATTTTGTACATATATTAACATACAAAAAAAACCAAAAACTAGATTTTGTATAGAAATCTCTGTACTAGAGTAGAGAGAGTCGAGAAATTTCAGGTCTCACAAGTATTATAGCAAACTATGGTTAATAAAGCTGAAACAAAATATTAAACATAAGAGTATATTTAGTCGACCAAAAGATCAGAGAACCATGCCAACATGCCTACAATGGGGATGATAAGATTCTCTGCTAATTTTTTGTTTTTGACATCAATCATAAATTAATGTTATTATAAAACAAAAAACATGTTAAGAAAATCAAGAAAGATCCATTGCACATTCTAAATAAAAACAACATTGATTCAATTGAGTTAAGAGTTTCCAATTTTCCATCAACAATGTAAAGACACTAGTGCGATAACAGAGATATTTTCAATCATTGTACTTTAAAAAAATCAAGCCAAAGAGTACAATTGGTAGAATCTAACACAGTAATCATCAGAGTATGATGCAGAATTCGAGAATGTCATTTCGCATGTTTAGAGCATAACGTAAGAAAAATACATTTGAGATTCAAGGAAACTACTACCACACTTCTGGAGTCTCACCTACGTTCACAATAAATATCTACATGAGACTCGAAGATGCATTCATTTCACAAAACGAGAGACATTATGATCCACACAAGCAAGAAAACAGAGATAATACCAATCATAGACATTGATGAACCCCGTAATTGGGAATAATTTAGGATAAACACGCAAAAATAAATACTCCCACAAAAATCAAATTTATCACACTAAATATTCCAAGAATCAAGAAGCAAAAGTCACAATGGTATCATCCAAAGAATGATCAAAAGACTATCACACAACCAACCAAAATGCATGAACTATGATCACCATACAGATTTTATAATGCAACACAAAACTCAAAAATTACATAAAGCATTGTAAACAAACAAACAACAATAAATAGAATAAAACATGGAATAGACAAGAGGTGAAATATATATACACATAGAAAGGTTACATGTGAATTTACCTACAATATCTGTAATTCTGCAAGATGGACCTTATAGTGAATTGAGTCATTTCTTAGAAACGTAACTAAACAGAGACTCTTATACAATGTTATATAAATCGGGGATGTGTGAATAACAAAACTAGAATTTGTATATAAATCTGTGTAGAGAGTCAAGAAATTTGAAGTCTAACATCTATATAGCAAACAACGGTAGTACGGTTCCTAGAACTGAAACAAAACATTGGACAAAGAATACATGTAGTCCACATAAAATAGCAGAGAAGATCAGAGCACCTATTACAAGCTTGCAATGGGGATGATAAAAGTGTACTAATTTCAGATTTTGAAATCAATCACAGAAAAGTGTTATTAAAAAATGGTAAATAAATCAAGAAAGATCCATTGCACATTCTAGTTCCATAACAGAGACACTCATTGTATAATATACACACAAGCTAACGAGTACAATTTATGGAATCTAACACAGTAATCATCAGTCGATAATGCAGAAATCCAAAATGTCAATCACCATGGGATTAAAGCATAATGCAAAACAAAGACATTCGAGAATCAATAAAACTACTACCATCATCTGCAGCACTTGCACCTACATTCAAAATAAATATCTACAAGAAACTACAAGATGTGTATTTCATAAGAAACTTCATCATTCATAGAAGCATAATAAGTATTTTATACACAATGTAAAATTCTCAATTTCCATAAGTGGAATCTACCTTTTTATCAGTGTATGATGCAGAATTTTCAGAATGTCGTTTCATATGTTTAAAATGATCACCAAGGGTTTAGAGAATAAGGCAAAACAAATACATTTGAGATTCACGGAAACTACTATCAGAATCTGTATGACCTATTACTAACCTACATTTAATATAAATATCTATTGGAAGACTCCAAAATGCATCTATTTCATAAAATGAGAGAACTTATGATACATATAAGCACTGAAACAAAAATAATGAATATTTTTTACACACAATGTAGTGTTCCAATACCCAAAGCAAAATCTACCATTTTATCAATGGATATGTTAGCAATAAGTTTCTAGAATATGCCAGATACTAGATCAAGGATAGTAATGCTAAGAAACATTTAACTATAGATGGTGCTTAGGTTTTCATTTCTAATTTCTTTACTATAAATATATATAACACTTAACTTATTATTACGTGTGAAAATTATCAATGTACCATAGAAAAGTATAGAAAAGCATATACCTGATCATAGAATTTTGCTACATTCAGAATCTCTTTGGTGGGAAGGAAAATGTGAATACCTCTGAAGCATATATATATATACCTAAAAAAATCAAAATTAGTGTCTACTTCAAGTATGTGTCTCTTACTTGTGAGTTTCATAATTGTATCAGCTAATTACAAAGTTTGAAAAGTACATACCTGTCAAAGAAGTCTGCTACACTTGAAATCTCCTCAGAGTCTATCAATTTGAACGCCTTTAGAAGCACATACCTGAGGAAGAAAACAGAATTGGTTAGTCTTCATATAATGTAAATGCCTAATACTTACCTCTCCGTACTCTTTGCCTTATGACTTTTTCAAGATTTAGGTTCACTCTTTATCTTAAGCCTTCTTCAAGCTGCTGGTCGTTTATACCATCCAACAAATCTTAAACCGCTCATAATCTTTGTCTCATGAATTCTTTAAGACGTGAGACTATTAGGTTTGTCAAATTACCGTAGCATACTCTTTGCCTTATGACTTCTTCAGCTGTTGGTCGTTTTTACCATCCAACAAGTCTCAAAACGCTATATAGCTGTTGGTCGTTTTTACCATCCAACAAGTCTCAAAACGCTACATAGCTGCTGGTCGTTTTTACCATCCAGTCTTAAACTGCTCCATATATGTTGGTCGTTTTTACCATCCAACAAGTCTTAGAACAATTTCAATTGTTTCTGTCTTATGTCTCTTTTTAAGCCGTTGGTCTGTTTTCATCTAACAAGTTGTTGGTCTCAAAACGCTACATAGCTGTTGGTCGTTTTTACCATCCAACAAGTCTCAAAACGCTACATAGCTGCTGGTCGTTTTTACCATCCAGTCTTAAACTGCTCCATATATGTTGGTCGTTTTTACCATCCAACAAGTCTCAAAACGCTTCATAGTTGCTAGTCGTTTTTAGCATCCAGCAAATCTAAACTGCGCCAAATCTGTTGGTCGTTTTTACCATCCAACAAGTCTTAAACTGGCCATCCAGTAAGTCATAAACTGCTTCATATGCGTTGGTCGTTTTTACCATCCAACAAATCTTAGAACTTTGTCAAGTCTTCATATGCGTTGGTCGTTTTTACCATCCAACAAATCTTAGAACTTTGTCAAGTCTTCATATGCGTTGGTCGTTTTTACCATCCAACAAATCTTAGAACTTTGTCAAGTCTTTTTTGTCTTATGTCTCTTTTTAAGCTGTTGGTCTGTTTCCATCTACCAAGCTGCTGGTCGTTTTTACCATCCAGGAAGTCTTAAATTGCTCCACATATGTTGGTCGTTTTTACCATCCAACAATTCTTAGAACTTTGCCAAGTATATATGTCTTGTATCTTTTTAAGCCGTTAGTCTGATTTTATCCAACAAGTTGTTGGTCGTTTTTACCATCCAACAAGTCTCAAAATGCTTCATATCTACTGGTCGTTTTTACCATCCAGCGAATCTTACACTACTCCATATATGTTGGTCGTTTTTACCATCCAACAAGTCTTAAACCGCTTCATCGCCTTTCTCTTATGACCTCTTCAAGCCGTGAGTCTATTACTTTTAGGTTCAGCCTTTATCTTAAAAACTGTTGGTCGTTTTTACCATCCAACAAATCTTAACCCTTTCATAGTCTTTATCTTAAATTGTTGGTCGTTTGTACCATCCAACAAGTTTTCATAACCCTTCCATAGTATTTATTTCTGTTGGTCGTTTTTACCATCCAACAAGTCTTAACCCTTTCAGAGTCTTTATCTTAAACTGTTGGTCGTTTGTACCATCCAACAAGTCTTAATAACCCTTCATAGTCTTTCTCTCTGTTGGTCGTTTATACCATCCAACAAGTCTTATTCTTTCCATAGTCTTTCTCTCTGTTGGTCGTTTTTACCATCCAACAAGTCTTATTCTTTCCATAGTCTTTATCTTAAACAGTTGGTCGTTTTTACCATCCAACAAGTCTTTGACTCTTTGTCTTTTGATTTTTCTAAGCCGATGGTTGCACAATTGTGAAGTCTTTTTATGATTCAGTCTCTGTTTCAAGACTTTATTAAGAGGTAAGATCATTCCCATCCAACAAATCGAAACCACTTTTCCCATCTCCCAACATGCATGCACTACCCATCCAATAACTCAAAATTTTGCCCGGGACAATGTCCCCAAAATAGAATCTGACAGAACACTATCATATGAGTGCCCTGCCCATGATCTTTTTTGGGTTTTGAAAGAAAAAACAAAAACATCAAAACCAAAAATCCTTTTAAAATCCTTTGAAAATCTTATTAAAGAGAGGAATTTTGTTGTTAGATCGAGAAAACAAAATCTTGATTTCAAAACTATGAATCCGCAGAACAATTAAAAGGCTTTGAAATCTTATTAAAAGCAGAATTTTGCTCACTTGGATCAAAATCAAAACAGATGTCAATTGCAAAACATTCTCATCGACGAGAACTGATCATACAATTTTGGTCTGGTTCAATTTCAATCCTAAAAATGTTGAAAGACAAAAACCAAAACCAAAACCAAAACCAAAATTTAAAATCGAGAAAGACAGAGACATGCATACCTCGACGACGACGGGTTACAAGCGGAGACTAAAGCTTCCAGTAATCAAAACCCTAAACAAGATATTATATACGAACAATTAGAAACCCTAAAAATGGAAAATCGCGAAAAATTAGGAAGAAATCAAATCAAATTACCACGAGGAAGAAGAAACCCAGACCATGGTAGCAATTTCACGCCGAATCAAGCAACCTTCAAGTACTGAATCAAAACCCTAAACAAGAAATTATATACGAACTATTAGAATACAAATTCACGAAATATTAGAAAGAAATCAAATCAAATTACCACGAGGAAGAAGAAACCCAGACCATGGTAGCAATTTCACGCCGAATCAAGCATCCTCCAAAACCCTAGATCAATACAACATCAGATCCATTACTCGAGACATAAATCGTAGAAGTATATTCGTGATCTACAGAAATCAAAAGAAACTTACTAATCTAAGAATATTTGAGACCGATCTCCGATTGATCGTGAAAATTTCTCAAAAGAAATAAGAAGAAAAAAGAAATTTGAGAGAAAAATTACGATTTTTTTTTGTCTTTGAAGAATTGAGAAAATATTTATCTATATATACATTTTTGGATCACAATTAGCAAATAAATCCTGAAGTTGAGAAGTATTTACAATGGCATGCCATTAGCATTAATTATTTAGATTTGTTTTATTTAAGTAAAGATTGTTAAATGAAATTCATTTCTCATATATTTAGCAAAAGTCTGTACAAAATCTTTCCTTATCTATTTAAGTAAAGATTTTGAAATCAAATATGTTCTCAACAATTTACCAAAAATCTCTACACAATCTTTTTAAAAATCTCGACTTAGTTAACTTCTGATTTTTATCTGCAAAAAAGAAAAAAATTAATAGTAACGAGTGATGTAAAAATCGGGAATGTTGATATTATAATTTCTTCTACTTTTTTTTTTTCATATAATGAAAATTATTTTTTAGGGATACTTTCTCAAAACCTCTAAATAAAACAAAAGGTTTCAAAAGATAGCTTCTCTTTTGGCGGGTCGACACGCAAACCCGCAACTCTCCACGGGCTTATCCGCATGAACCTGCGACCCGTAGTGGATAAAAATATTATTCAAAAAAATAAAAAATGATGTTTAATTTTACGGGACGGGGTTATATGGTGCAACGGGTTTAGATCGATATTAATATTAAACAATATACTATGGATGAAATCTTAGAATTTAAAATCAAAATTTAATTATAAAATCAGAAACACTAAACAAAATAAACAATATTAACAAAACAAATACAATTTAAAATTTTGCTAAATAATTTTTAGTTATAAAAAAATTGACCCGCGGTGTACCGCGGGGTAAAATCTAATACTTAGCAAATAAATACTGGAGTTGCTAAGTATTTACAAAGAATGCCATTGGTTGGGTCGGGTTGTTTTAATTACGTTTGACCAGGAATCAGAAATCGGATACTTCCGAAAAACTCTGCGTCGAATATTTAGTGAAACAAAGAAACGACCAGGCCCAATATTAGGCCCATCTTAATCACGTTACCTTTTTTTATTTATTTGGCAAAACCACATTAATTAAATAATCTTAAATCAACATATAAAATCTAAACTTACCAATCTCCAAATATTTAACTACAGAATTAGTTACTATACTTAAACGACATATTGGATTCAAATCTTCCTAAAATATCTCAAACTTAATTCGATCATCAATTTATATATTCTTCACGTTATATTCCAAAACCAATTCACCATTCTTTCAGTCTCATATTTCCGATTGTATCTCCTGCAATAATAAATGAGATTCATATATTAATAAACTTCCTTACACTAATCTACATTTTATTAGCAAAAAATTTCGAATTCTCACTTTTAGTAATTTTGTTTCTCCTAAAATTCTATTCTTAACAACCTAACAAAACTAATTTCCTAATCACAATTCCATATCTCCTAACTTTCTTCTCTTAACAAACTAATTAATTCAATCCCACGAAATCCTCATTCCAATATCAACCTACAAATCTAGAAAATTAATCAATTTCGTTATTCTATAAGCATAAAGATGGTATATTCCTAACAAACCTATTATATTGAAAGATATTATTCCACACGTTTTGGTTCATGTAACCTAATTCTTTTCCCTATATAAACTCTACTCCTAAGCTCCAATATCTCTCACAAACCTAAAAAGCTCTAAAACCCGATATTGAAAACTTTTACCTAAACGAAATGGCTTGCACTTTTGCTTTCCTCAACGACGTGCGTCCCTACAAGACTTCTTGGAGGGTCCAAGTCAAAATCTTGCACTCCTGGCGCCAGTATATGCAGAGTACTGGTGAAACACTAGAGATTATCATCTCTGATGAACAGGTGTTAGTCATATTAATCTCTATTTTATAATTATGTTCAAAACACTTCACTTATTCCCTACTAATACACAACTTTACCTATTATTATTTGCAGGGGAAAAAAATGCATGCAACAGTAAAGAAAGACTTCACTTATTCCCTACTAATACACAACTTTACTTTTATGTCTTACCAATTTCAATCTATATATTCGAATACAGACAATTACTAACTAATATGTTTTTTTTTTTTGTTCATGGAGATCACACGTTACCAATCAATTCAATCAAGATGAAGAGAAGGACACAACAATATCAGAGAAAAGACAATTAGCATCATATTACGTTGCTATTTTACTCAAACAGTGATTATTACTTTCAAATGAAGAGGTTATGACTCAGGTTTCAATTTTTATCTACAACATTCTTTTACAGTTTCTTCCCTATGTCACTTCAATGCTAAGTTTATTTCATAAAATAGTTTTACTGGTAGAGTAAATACGCACCTGGAAAGAACCATCCTTGCTAATTCTTAAACTGCAGTTTTGGTCTGCATAAAATTATTAGCAATTAGCAACATATAACATGGATAAATATTGCAATGACGTGGAAAACTTTTTCTAAACAACATCTGCACAATTAGATAGAATATTGTATAACTGAGAATACTTATATTTATACTTTCTATTATAATAGTTAGGGATGATATTTTCATAAAAGACAGTTTTAGATACACAAATAGTTAATTCGTACGATGTAATTGTTAAGACTCAGTTTTGCAGAGACTCAGTTCTTCTGTCCCAACTTCAGAGACTTAATTTGAAGAGATTTTAAAAAAAATCATCAAATTAACATAATAACAAACAAGCCATGGACAATGAAACCGAACACTTCTAAGATCAGAAAAAGCAAACAATACTCTAACTGAATCTGACCTTTCACTTAATCCTAAAGAATAGAATGAAAAGCATACCGAAATAGTTTCAATCTTCCATTTTAAAAATCACAGATTATCCAGTCCAGAAAGACAGAGAACAAACCTTAGTAGCGCCTATTACGTCATGTCTTGCCTCTTAAAGTGTTGCCATTTGAATCTAATCTTCTCTTTATAATATCATGTTTCTGTAATTCACACATTGCACAAGCTTAAACATGTTTCAAACACAAAAATTGTCACTGGAGTAAGACAGTGAACAATTTCAAACATACCACGTCGCAAAGCAGTTCTCCACTAATATCCATAGCATCAACACTAAGAATCGAACATGCTAGAGCAGGAAAACGTATATCGAACTACATCATCAATGAAAAGTTATAAACATGTTAATCATAAATTATCCCTTAACTTAGCTAATCGATTAAGGGATTCGTAGATAGAGAAACGGAAACGAAAAGTATAAATGAACATATCTGTTCTCTATTGGGATCGATTTAAAAAGTAAATAAGATAGATTTGCAGATTTTACCTTAGATCCATACATAGAATCGTTTGGATTTGGGGTTATGGACGATTTGTGATGAAATCTTCTATTCACAGCTCTAATCGAGAATAAAATTACAAGATTCAGGAATAAAACCAGATGGATTCGTCGATTAAAAAGAGAAAAGGAAACGAAGTATACGATTTAGTTCTCATGAGCCCTGATGTTGAAACGGTGGAATTCGTAGCAAACAACAGTGTAACATTGATCTATTCTTTGGAGCAGATGAAGCAATCGATTGAACTTTCAGCTCCTTATGACAACGATTTTGTGCATAGAGAAAGAAAATCTTAGGTTATCGAAGAAGAGTGAAAATTGGTGCCGACAACAAACTACACTTAATTATCTACTCACTGATGAAAAAAAAAAATTAAAAAAAAATAAATTATCTACTCACTTTCTTTTTTTACACAACAATATAATTACCAAATGTGTCTATAGGATAGTTATTTTTTTAAAGACCAACATACATTTTTTTTTAATTCGTAAAAATTATATTAGAATTGGTTCAATTTAATAATCAAAGTTTATAACAAAATTAACTTAAAACTATATTTGGTATGAAATTCATAATTGTTCCCACTCATATTTTCAATGCACAACACAACTATATATATTCTAAAGTGATACATTATTTATTTTAGAAACAAACAAAATGATCAAACATAATAATACTTAACTTATATTACAAAATTTAATATATTTAATTAGAAACTATAATTTCTAAATTAAGAAAACAAAAAAAAAATTCTCTAACAAATCAATCGTTACTTACGGAATTATATGTTACCGTTCCTATATTTTTCAACCGTAAACCTAAAAAAAAATATAGATATAGATATATGAATGGTACATTTAAAATATATAAATAAATATATTTTTCTCTATTAATAAACAAAATAATTTATATTTTAATTTTAAAAAAAAAATATAGCTCCGCGGTGTACCGCGGGTTCAAATCTAGTTCTGAGATATATTTCGATGCGTCTTCACAGCAAACGCGTTTTGCTAACGGTTATATTTCCCAACGTATCAACGGATACTCCAATCGGACGGTCCTTCATCTTCCACGATTCACGATTAGTGATAGGCCTAATAGAGTTAAAGTTAGGCCCAATACGGCCCATTAATTCAAATTTCAAATTTTTAACTCCTACTTTCTCGTATAGAAAGCTAAAGCCTAAGACCATCTTTATCAATGAATTCTTAAGAAAATCTTAAGATGATCTTAACAATTAATTGATTAAAATTAATTCCCAAATGCATTAAATCTAAGATGGGTTCCTTAGCTAAGGAACAAAAAAAAAAGTTAAGAACCAAAATTTTTAAATTTAATACTAAAAAATTATTAAGAACCAAAATTAAGAGAACATTGATAATGGTGCTCTAACAGAGCTAAACCGATATTTTATCAATGTATATAACTAGACAGATTTGAATGAAACTATACAGATTATGGTAGAATTAGCGACCAAGTTCATAAATAGCCAAGATAATCCAACCCAATAGTTCACATGAACTGATCAAGGCACAAACGCAAACAAAATCCTATGTCATAATCCAAGATAAATAATTCTAAAAGAGATTTAAATGGCTTTAGCTCTTATTTTTTCTTCAATGCAAATTATGAAATACAAAGGAGGTAAAAACTATTTTATAGTTGACCGGTGTATCTGAATTCCAGATCATGCACGACAGTACAATAACCGGTTTGAAATTCAAATTGACCGGTGTAACCCGAACCAATCATCTACAAATACTGAAAAATCCCACTGTGAGAGGGTATTACACCAATCCGGACTGAACCCATTAATCTGTTATGCCCAAAGGAACTCTGCTTTTTTTTTTGGTCGGAAAAGGGAAACAATGTCTCCCGTATTATTAAAAACATAAAGAAAAAATTACAATCGTACCCGACGTGGGAACGCAGTCCCACCGGTATCCTCTAACAAAACAACACCAACCGAATCCGGAGGAGAGTCTAAAGCATGAAAACCTAAAGGTAGAGAAAACGCATAGTTCGCTAACTTATCCGCAAGGCGGTCAGCTAATCTATTAAAACGCATAGTTCGCTAACTTATCTGCTTTTGTATATAATCTACCTTTTTATAATATTTAAATAGAAAATCCTTTAACAAAAGAAAATATTAATCAAGAACAATTGTTGTAAGTGTACAACGTGGCAAAAAATGTAAGAACGTAAAATGACGTGTGTGACTAACTTGTATAGTCCCATCAAACTCTTCGAATTCCGTCCAAGCTAGTCATTATGTTTGCTTGCACCTTTTACTTTAAACTCTCTTTGGAAATAGGAGCCTAAGACCATCTACAATGTATTTCCCTATTTTTAGCTCTATTTTTATAATAGAGATAAGTTTTCTCTATTTTTACTTCAATGTGTTTCTCTATTTTTTCCTCTAAAAAGTTTAACTTTATTTATAGAGAAAAAAATAGAGATTCTCTATTCTCACCTCTATATATAGAGAAAAAAATAGAGATCGCTATTTTAGAGGTGAGAATAGAGGTGAGAATAGAGGTGGGTTGGAGCAAATTTGCCTCTAAAATAGAGTTTAGAAGCAAATATAGAGGTGGGTTGAAGATGCTCTAAAAGAGAAGAAGGCAAAAGGGATTTTAGGGTTAAACTCATCTCTCCTATTTAGGACTAATCAACTCGTTTCAATTTCATTTTGTGTTAAGCTTCTCGATATGGCGAGTACCTCAAGCTTTGTAAATGGTTCTTCTAGCCACATTCACTTGCAACGAACAGACGATAGAAAATGCTCTGGGAGGCTGGATTTGTATGTACTCGATTGTCCTGTTTGCTGCGAGCCACTCACTATTCATACCTTCCAGGTTACGTTTCGAATATTACATTTGTTTTTCATAAATTGTAGTCACTTAGATGTGAACTTAAGAGTTAAAGCGAAGAATTTATTAAGTTGGGTTTGTTTCATATTCTTGTTCTTGTGATGCTTATTTGATGTAAAGTCATGTGGAAATGGCTTTGTTATGTTTTCTCGAATCTTGTTGTAATTGTTATTTCATTGGTTTTTGCTTATTTCAGTGTGATAATGGGCACTTGGCTTGCTCTTCTTGCTGTCCCAAACTGAGTAATAAGTGCCCTGCATGTTCTTTGCCTATTGGAAACAATCGATGTGTAGCAATGGAGAGGGTTCATGAAAAAGAATGCACTTTCACTCAATGCTCATGCCCTGCATTGGACTGTGATTACACTGGCTCATACACGGATCTCTACAAACATTTTACTCAACCTATCCACAAGATTATTTACTGGTCTGGTGGCTTCACTTGTGGCAAACCCTTTGATGTTCCTACACTGTCGATGGGAACTCTATAACTCACAAATCGACAGTGAAGCGATTTCTTGAATTGAGCTTCCAAAGACCTGAAGAGAGTTACATGTTGATCCCTCACAGTTTATTGAGTGGTGACGGTTGGAGATGAAACTTTGCATCAAGAAGTTGAATCAAGAGTAAGAATGTTGGGGTGATGTAGAACAAGGTCCTATGGAAACTCTCTCTCTCTCTCCATCTCTGCCTGTTAGATTTTACTTGCATCTTTGATTGTAACTAGTTTGGTTTTGCATTTTGTGTGATAATGGACATGTGGTGAAATCGACTCAAAAAATTCATGTACAAGTGTAAAAAAAACCCACAAAACAAGTGTTGTCTATGTTTTACCATACTATCATAACCATCTAATCAACAACTTCACTGCTAAACAACTTGAACTTATTAGCATCAAGAACAAGTTTCCTAATGGAGGAGAAAGCTCCCATGAGTCCCGTACAAGTGAACACAACCATTATCGTCATGTTTATCCAATACGTGAAGCTCCGTTTCGTTGGCTTATAGGTCATGTTGTATAGAAGCATTGGCAGCACGAAATCGAGTGGGATAAACCCAAACGCTCCTACCACAGCGTTTATATCACCAAAGAACGGTAGCATAGCTGCCATGAACCCGCAAAACGCCATATATAGCGTTCTTAGTATCAATCGCGGTACAAGGTTACGTCTTGAGAATATCCCTTTTGTTGTATCCGCTGATTTCTTCTCCATTATCTCATATGCAACTTGAGAATACACCTAACCAGTTAACAAAAAAAAAGAAACATATTTAAACGTTTAGTCACTCGTCTCACAGCCAAGTAACATCCAATACGATCACACTAGTTAAACTTACGAGGCCAATGGCGAAAAGCTGAAGAAGGACAAAGATGACCGCTAAGCCAATCACCACGATAGGAGCCAAAGTCGGTCCTTCATCAGGCATTAAGTTCTTGAGAATATTAGAGCTCGAATTGTTACCAAAAACCCAATATCCCGAAATTGCAGCCGAGTAAAACGTGAAGAAGATCACACTATAACACAACAATAGTCCTTTCAACATCTTCCCTGTGGCTGGTGGAGCAAGAGTTGCCTGCATATACATAATTATCACATAAAAATCTCAAGCACAAACCATACAATGTTTGAACTGAATAACTTGCTGACATTTCTCACCTGTATTTCGGGTAGGATTCCATTTCCGAAAATAGCAGCTATGATCGAAATCGATGTGAAGGCACTAAAAACTTTCCCTGAATCCGAATGCTCCAAAGAATAGTCGCGTTTAGGAGCGTTTTTAGACAAACCTGTAGAACCAAAACAGAGCAATTAGTCTCCATTTTCAAACATTAGTAGTTTGTTGTTTCTTCGCTAACGTAATAATCATTATACCTAGGTTAATACAAGCCCCAACGACGAGGAAAGTATATCCTAAGCTGAGAATCAGAGACGCAAAGTTAATGTGTCTAAGAGAGTGAAAACTTGGGAGCTGTGAGAGAACCATCATCACAGCAGTCACCATAGCAATGAACTCGTAAAGCTTCAACGTTCCTTGCGGGTAAAGACTCGAGTACATTATCTGTGTAGTAACACAAAACAGAGGATGATCCTTACAGTTCTTATAGTACCTTGTTTAGCAAGTAATTAAAATAATTAGGTTTCTTCTTACATCAAGACATTGACCTGCAAGTAGAATAGCGCCAATACCAATTCCAGTGTTGATAGCTGTTTGAATAAAGATCACTACATAAAACATCCATCCAGATCCTGCACCACATCACAATAACCGACTCAAAATTCAAAATTGACCGGTTTAATCTAAACACATCATAAACCGAAATACAGAGACCTAACCTAACTAACCAAAAACCGGTTACAGAGACACGTGTGATGGATGGCGAATCTAACAAGAAGTCAAAGTATCCAATATTGAAACTCGATCCAACCTTTACGGATTTATCCAAAAAAAGCAAAAAAAACAAATAAATAAAGAAGAGATTTCGAATGATACCAAGAACATCGGCGGCGAGTTCCCGGAAACGGATGTGACGGCGGCCGGATTTTTCACAGTGATCAAGAACCTTAGACATGAGGTAATAAGCGTAGAAAGTAACGAGTCCCATCGTCGTTAAACAAACAAACCCTAACCACCATCCTAATCCTCTGAACGCATACGGTAATGTCAATATCGTCGGACCAACAATCGCCGTCGTTAGATGAAATCCGGCGTGCCACCACTCGCCTGAGAATTAATCTCAAATCAGTTAAAAATTCCAAAATCGGAGATTGAATTTAAAATCAGAGAAGTTTTTTTACCTTTTGATTGGAGGACGAAGAGAGCTCCGGCGTCGGAATCGAGTCGGGTAACAGAAAACGGGTCGGGTCTTGGAGGATCCGTCATTGATGATTTAGTGTGAAAGAGAAGAAGATTCTGCAAGTGAATGATTTATATATGGAATGATGATGAATGATGATGATGGAGAGCACGGTGGAGAGGTGGGCGCATGATAGCTGGTGATAGTTAATGTTTGCTAAAATGTTAAATTCCGTTGCTTCTTTAAAGAAACAACAACCTGTCCTAGTGGCTTAGTGGGAAAAGGAGACATATTTTGCATTTTCCTCTTTATTCGGGTGTGATAAAATTTTGCTTTTTTTCAGATTCCTTTCATTAAAATTAAAAAATTAGTTTTATGCTCATACATTTCCACTTGTACTTTACTTGTGGCTTCTATGCATGTTACAGATTTTTTTTTTTGTTGATAAAAATAGAAATATTGAATTGACAAAACAAGATTTTGAAATTACTTTTTCATAGTTTTATGTAGAGTTTTTTTTTTTTCATTAATGTATTGTTTATAAATAAGAAAACAAATTTGAAGAGTGTTTTTTTTTTTTTTTTGGAATAATCCAATATGATTTATATGAATATATATCACAATAATTTTAGAATGTATCTTGAAGAATTAATCATATATTAATGTACTTGGAAATTATAACATGTTATATTGTAGACACATGATTATATCTTTATATAGTTTTTAATAAATGTTGATGTATCAGTGTATCACTAATTTTCTAAGAGAGATTAGAGTATTTCCATAAACACATAAAAGTAGATAGAGTTTCTATTTAAAAGTTAATAATAAGAGAATTAAGATATTGCCAAGTTGTACTTAATTTTCAATTAACTTCGATTTAGGAAATATCAACTAGTTATGGAATTTTTTTCAAATATTGATTGATCTAACATCACCAATCCGGCTGGCCGGCTTATATCTATACTAGTATAATCGCAGCACTTTTTGTGACGGGTGGGTAAAAAAGCTTTCGGATATATCGGATATCCGACCCATTTTAAAAATTCCTTCACAAAAAATTTGTTGGGTCGGGTTATATTTAACCCAACTCATACACCGAATATTCCATATTTAATAATTTAGATTTTTAGAAGATTTGATTAAGATTTATAATTATGATTCTCCTATCATCTTTGTTTGATTTGTTTTTAACTGTTTTGAATCATCATATAATACATAAAGTAAAAAAAAAATCAATTTTTTTTCTGCATATACTGTGATTCGAAATTTTAAAAACGGACATATATTATCCAATTGACGAAAATGTGTGTTCAACGTTCTACATCGATTAAAATATTTAGACAATGATTCAGAATCATATCATAAATAAGAACATTAATAAAATAAATGAGTTTTTTGGCGGGATGGGTTTGGCGGGACGGGTTTTTGAATCAACAATAATAAAAAGATTAAAATATCATTAATCCGCCGCTTCAATGCGGATTTAATCCTTTTTTTTTAATACAAATCACAGGACGGGTTAAGAAATTACGGAACGGGTTATATTTCGGAAATGATTTATATGGCGGACGAATTTGAATCAATATTTATATACCGCTTTAATACGGGTTAAATCCTCAGTTTATTAATAATTATCTCGTGGACTCGTGGTATACCGTTACTTAATAACAGTTGTAAACTATAATATAAATAAATATGTTATAAGGAGATACAATTTACAAAATATTTTTATACTAACTTTAAAATTAAATCATCCCGCGGTGTACCGCGGGTTAAAATCTAGTATTTTTTATAAAAATAGAAATATTGAATTGGCAAAACAAGATTTTGAAATTATTTTTTCATAGTTTTGTGTAGAGTTTGTTCTGTAATGTATTGTTTTTAAATAAGAAAACAAATTTTGAGAGTGTTTTTTTTTTGGAATAATCCAATATGATTTATATGAATATATTAAAGTACTTGGAAATTATAACATGTTATATTGTAGACACATGATTATCTCCTTTCAAATTTTAAATATATCTTTATAGTTTTTAATAAATGTTGATGTTATATCACTAATTTCTAAGAGAGATTAGAGTAAAAGTAGATAGAGCTTCTATTTAAAAGTTAATAATAAGAGAATTAAGATATTCCCAAGTTGTACTTAATTTTCAATTTTACTTCGATTTAGGAAATATCAACTAGTTATAGATTTTTTTTCAAATATTGATTGATCTAACATCACCAATCCGGCTGGCTGACTTTTTCTGTTTTGTTTATCATTCACATGTTTGACTTTTTTGGTATGAAAAACAGTAGTAAACAAAAGAGAAAGCGATTGCTATTCAAAGAATTAAACATTTAAAATTAGTTCACATTAGAAATTTAAGGCGAGATGTAAAAAAAAAAACAATTAAAATAAGTGATGAATGAGAGAACCAAACTCTTTAGTGATATGTATAACTTTTTGTTATGAAAGAGCAAAGATGATACTATAACAAATAGTCAAATACCAACCAAGTAAAAACACTATACCAACAGCAACATTTAATCGTTCTATACAATCCCACCCACAAAAAAACAAAAATATCAAATCCATTTGTGTGAGCCACTTTATTCCTTCCCATAAAAACCACCACCAACTTTGCCCACAATAAACCAAAATTGACTTTAAAAACAACAAAAGTTACACAAACATATTAAAATGCAACAAAATAATCGAACACAAGTACACCAAAAGTACCCAACCAAAAATTACCTCTCCACCAGCTTCTTGATAGACCAGAGTCCAAGACCTAATAATAAACACATATTATTTCATTGTTTAAATTCATGTGAGGTGATGAAACTAGGCTTGGGAAAGATAAACAACGTACCGTGGCTTGAGTCCTTAAGCTCGCTGTGACACTCTTCTTTGGCCTCGAGCCACAACGGTCTTAGACAAAACCTCCTCAAGATATTCACAACGACTTCTATGGTGATCGATCCAAACACATAATTGCCTTATCGCTTCTCTTTTCTCTTCTCCAAGTCCCATCAAAGTCTCTTTCATCATCTCCTTCTCTTTTTCATCCTCTCTTACTTTTCCTCCAAGCTTTTTTATTTCTTCATCTTTCTTCTCTATCTCTTTCTTCATCTTCTCCTTCTCGTGATTTCTCTCTATCACCCAATTCGTCGCTGTCCACAGTATTTTCGATGCCTCCATTACAGTTTTCTCGTATCTCCCCTGTTTCTCCTTGAGTTTTTCCGACATGGATTCAAACCCGTTTACTGTTATGTTCACTTTATCTGCTATCTCTTTGATCATACCTCGATATGTCTCGTGTGTGACGGTGAGATTCTTCTCAAGCAATGCTTGCTCCTCTAAGTGCTTAGCCTCTTCTTTTCTGAAAGCTTCTTCTTTCTCTGTTAGTACCTGTTCGGTTACTCTCAGTTTCTGGTTCGATAAGCGTAGCTTAACCTCGATGTTACTGATCTTCTCCATGAGAGTTTCGATCTCGTCTCCTTTCATTTCCAGCTCGTTACGTAAACTCTCCATCGTCTCTTCATGAACCCCAATTGCAGAATCTCTGGATGTCACTTCTTTAGTTCTCTCCTCCAACAATCTTTGAGCTTCTTTGTAATCATCTGTTAGCTTATTTAGTGTTGTTTCACTTTCTTTGAACAGTTCGTTAATCTGATTGTGTTCCTCTTTCAGCGTATTGTAAGCAGCTTCTTGCTCTACCAATGCTTTCTGGACATTGGTGACCTGATTCGACAATTCTGATTTCTCTTGCTTCTCACTCTCAAGCTCAGCTTCGGTTTGGCTCTTCTGCACATGTAGAGAATCAAGCTCATGCTTCAGATTGTTGATCTGTTCTGTTAAGGCCATTATTTCAGAAGACGCTTCGTTGATCTTATCGCGCATTTGAACGTTCTCTTCTGTCTTAGTTCTCAGCTCCTCTTCAAGCTGACTTCTCTGTTTCTGTAGAGTCTCTAACTCAAGTTCAAGACCCTTAATCTTCTCAGATAAAACATTTCTTTCTTCTAGAATACTCTCGTGATCTTTAACCTTGTTTATGATCTCCTCTTTTAGATTTGTAATCTGACTCAAATATTCAGAGATCTCCTCGGACTTCTTTTCAAGTTGGATCTCAAGTTCTGCTCTCTGGCTATCAAGTGAGGCCACTTGCTGTCTCAAACCATTGATCTCATCATCCAAACTCTTAATCTGCACTGAGGCTTCTTCGCTTTTGCACACCATTTGTTTCTCCAACTCTTCCTTTTGAACAGACATTGAATCAAGTTCTGCTCGTAGGCCATCGATCTCAGCTGTCAAACTTTCAATTGAGGACGATGATTGCTTCTCGTTATCCTCAAGTTTTTGAGTTAAAGCTGAGAGTTCAGTTCCTCTCTCGTCCATTGTCTTCTCAAGTTCTGAGATTCTAGCAACCATTTCTCTGTTTTGCGCTTCCAATTGCTCAACTACGGTGGTCTTGCTTGCAATCTCTGTCTCAAGATCTGTTATACGGGCACGAAGTGACTCTAGTTCCAGCTCCAGTGTCGCTACTGTTGCTTCTAGTTCTTTTATTTGCACCTGTGATTTGCTGTCCTTCTCTGTAAGAAGTAAAAGTTCGCCTTCTTTCTCAGCGAGCTGCTCTTTCAGTTTGCTCGAATCAGCTGTGAGTTCCTGTACCATGATCTGTGCCCGTTCAAGCTCGTCTGAAGTTTCTGAGATTTTTGTGGACATAGTTTTGCTTTCTTCTTCTGCAGCCTTCAGACTTTCGCTCAATTCCGAAACCCTGTGTTCAGATGATTCCAGTTGCACTTCTAAATCTCTTAGCTGAGTGGATGATTCTCTCTGATGAGTCTCATGGATATCCCTCAAACTGAAAAGTTCATTGTCTTTCTCAGTGTGGCTCCCTTTTAATTGTTCAGACTCAGACTTGAGTTCTTGTATGGTGCTCTCCGCCCGCTTGATCTCAATCGACATTTCTGAATTTCGCTGAGATAACACTTTCTTCTCTTCCTCTGAACTGTTCAGGCTCTGGTTCAATTCTTCGACCTGTTTCTCTGTTAATTCCACCCGTGCTTCTAATTCTTTCACCTGACTTGAGGAATCTCTCTTATGGGCCTCATGTACCTCCACCAAACTAGAAAGCTCACTTTCTTTTTGTATGTGTGTATCTTTAGACTCTGCCAATTCAGTCATAAGTTCGTGTACCTTGCTTTGGGCCTGTTTGAGCTCATCCGTAATTTCCAAAATCTCTGAGGACATGGACTTCTTTTCTTCCTCTGCAGCATTCAGACTCGCACTCAAATCTACGACCCGTTGTTCTGATAATGTCAGTTGAGTTTCTAATTCACTCAAACGAGTGGATGATTCTCTTTGATGAGTCTCGTGAATATCCCTCAAACCAGTAAGTTCCCTCTCTTTCTCACCGTGGCTCTCTTTCAACTGTTCAGACTCAGACAGGTGTTCTTCTATGGTTTTTTGTGCCTCTTGAATCTCATTAGAGATTTCTGAGATTCTCTGAGATAACAGTTTTTTCTCTTCCTCTGCATTCTCCAGACTCTGCTTCATATCTGCAACCTGTTGATCTGCTGATTTCACCATTGCAACTAATTCTTCCACTCGACTTGTTGAATCTCTCTGATATGCCTCGTGTACCTCCACCAAACTAGAAAGCTCACTCTCTTTCTCTTTGTGACGGTCTTTCAACTCTCCTAATTCATCCCTGAGTTCTTGTATCGTGTTCTGCGCTTGTTCAAGCTTGTCCATAGTTTCCAAATTTTTCGAGGAGATAGCTTTGTTTTCTTTCTCTGCATCCTTCAGACCCACACTCAACTCTGAGATCCGCTGTTCTAAGGATTCCAGTTGAGCTTCTAATTCACTCACGCGAGAGGATGATTCTCTTTGATGAGTCTCGTGGATGTCCCTCAAGCTGAAAAGATCTCTCTCCTTTACACTATGGCTCTCTTTCAACTGTCCAGACTCAGATATGAGTTCTTGTATGGTGTTTTGTGCCTCTTTAATCTCGTTAGAGAGTTCTGCTATTTTCTGAGATAGCAGTTTTTTCTCTTCCTCTGCATTGTTCAGGCTTTGGTTCAACTCTGCAACTAATTTCTTTGATGCTTCCACTTGCTCTTCTAATTCTTTCACATGACTCGATGAATCTCTCTCATGGGTATTATGTAACTCCACCAAACTAGAATGCTCACTCTCTTTTTCCTTGTACTTTTCTTTCATCTCTCCCAATTCGGAAATTAGTTTTTGTATGGTTTTCTGTGCCTGTTGGATCTCATCTGAAATCTCGGAAACTTTCAAGGATAGAGATTTATTCTCTTCCTCAGCACTATTCATACCGGTGGTCAGCTCTGAAACTCGCTGCTCTGATGCTTCTAGCTGCTGCTTGAAATTAGTAGCTTCATCTTTGAGCTGATCACTCGTTGTTTTCCAATCTTCTGCAACTTTTTCAGCTTCTTGAAATCTCTTGATACCATTGTCTCTCTCAGTTTGCAGTTCATCTCTCTCTTTTTTGATATCTTCAAACTTCTGGTTCAGATCAGTTACTGTTTTGCCAGCAACTTCCAGTTTCTGATGCAATTCCCTGTTATCACTCAGTGCTGTTGTCTTTTCGTGCTCTAACTTCTCATTTTCAAGTTTCAACTTATTACCAATCTCTTCTGATTCTTTTAACTTCATCAAAGCTACTTCAAGCTCAGAATCTACTGCTTCTTTTTCCTCAACAGTTGTCGTTAACTTCCCTTTCAGATCAGCAATTTCGAGATTTGCAGCTTCGATTTGTTGCTTCAGGGCATCCGTTACCGACTCTACATCTTTCTCTACTTTTCCATTTCCATTTCTCTTGGTCTTCCTCTTAGAAGAATGGTCAGAATCCGAGTCTGAGCTCGATGAAGAGGAGCTTTCTCCTTTCCCATTGACCTTTTTCCTAATCTCTCCAGTTAGATCATCGTACTGGCGATACAGAGACTGGTACTCGCTGTAGAATTCCTTCACTAAGTCTGCAACCACTTGTCTTTTAGATTCATCCTCACTGACGTCTCCACTCTCAACCAGTCCCAAGATTTTGTTCACCTTTTCATCTATTTCTGCATCAGACGATGACAGTACTTTTCATGTAAGCATCAGACCAAGAACTAAGAATTTCATTTTACATGTGAATCAAAACTTAGTTGCGTAGGTAGGAAAATTACCAGTTTTAGTTCCTTTAAGCATTTCACCTTTCTCAAAGAAAGACTTCAAGGTCTCTCTAAACTTATTCTTTTTCATGTCTTTTTTCTTCAGTTTCTTTGATAACTTCTTCAACCAAATATCATCAAACAAGAAACTCAATCTTCACCTGTGACCAAACACAATTCACAGAGAAACTTATCAGAAGAAACGTTAAGATTAGCAAAACTAACTTGTTCACATTAAATGCCAATATTTAATTAGAAAAGAGGTACCATCCTTTTCACATTTATGTATGTTGGTATATAATAACAACTTTAGTAAACTAATAATAATTTGGCTTTTACAGAATCCAGATCATAGGTTAAGCATCTTGATATTCAACATAAAGAGAATATAATAATAGAAGTAGATCCAGCAATTGTACTATGACAAGGTACGCAGATAATAATAGAATTTGTGGGGCCCGCAAAGAACCACATCATAGATCCACAAAATCCTTGCATCATTCAGTAACTTTCTTACCAAGTGATGATATATTATTTACATCAACAGAAGTTACAAGAACAAATGCAATTTCATTAGAATACAGAACTTGGATTAAAGCTAATAACATTTTAGTGCCGGGTCTAAATTTGGAATCTGATGGTATTGGCTAGACAAAAGATCTCATGTGGAGCCACCTCAGCAAATTTGGAAATGGACCAGAAAGCACATACCTCTAGAACGATAAAAGACAGCTATCATTATTCAACTTTCATACCTCAGGAAAATGTGAGTTGTTTCTTTTTGTTCTTATATGTTAACTACTACCTTTAACAATACAGTTTCAACTAAAACAATCTCGATCCGAATCATCCAATACTTTCTTAAAAAGAAAGTTACTAGTAAAACTGTAAATACAAGGAAATGAGTAGAGTATCTAGTTTCACTTACCTTTTATCTCTCGAATTTCCTTTAAAGCTCCACAGATGATCCAGAATCGATTGTTATGGTTTTTGGTTTTTCCCTGTATCGAAACCAAGAGTTCTAGTTAGCATTTTGATGGTTCACAGCAGTTGATGGAAGGTTAAATCACAAATTCTACTAACATGAGAAACTAAAGATGAGTTGATAGTAAAATCTAAGGATATTAGTTACAGTGAAATTCATAATGAGAGGAACAACAGAAGCAAAACTGATCACAAAATGAGTGCCACACAAAACAAAAACACAATCGCCAAAAACCTAGAAGACGAACAAAAACACAATTCACCTTATAAATCAAATCACTACTTTAAGAACCAAATCAACGATGATAATCCAATTGATTTAACTATAATCAAAACCTCAACGAGACTAAAATGAACTGGAGAACAAGAAACTCATAATCTTCCCAGTAAAAAGCATCATCGACTAACAACAACAAAGAAAAAACTATCTGACGTTCTAATTTATGATCTAAATCCAACACTAAGCAACGAAAGCGTAAACTAAAGCTGATCGAAGAACCAAAGCTTCTTCAAATCAATAATCCAACTCGTGCGGAGAAATCGAAGATACTAAAATCATTTCGTATCCTAGAATTTTACCTGGATACGTAAGTTCCGGAGATTTGAAAAAAAAATCCAGAAAAAGAAGAAGAAGCAGAGATTAGAAGCAACTCTCTCGCTCTTCTCTCTGATGTGTGTGTGATGATAAGATTACGAAATTGAAATCGAAGCGAAAGAGAGATTGAAGAAGAAGAAGAAGCAAGAAAAAAAAGGTGATTTGGTTTTTGGAGTTATTTGAGAGGAGAGAACAGTTATGAAAGCTCACCTTTTGTGTTTGAGGGAGAGAGACGACGACTGGAGGAATCTTTTGGAACTTCGTACTCCCACAAACACCCTTCTCTTTTTCAGATTATTACGCTTCTGCCATCAAACGCTATTTATTTTCTCAAAATATCATTTGACTGTAGTTAGTCATGTTAAAGATTATTACGTTTTTAACACCGATATACTGAATTTGTTTTGATTTTTGTTTAGCATGTCTAATGCCGTAATTAAATTTAACACATGATTAATGTTTCACCATCATTAAGTGCGTTTCCCGCCTTTTTTTGTGGGTCTTTTGATAAAGAAATATGTCTCTTTTTTTTATATATTTAGGAAAACCAATAAAAAGACTGATTTTACTTACCTAATCCTAATATTGACTACATTATATTCACATTATAAAATGGGACAGATTTTTTTTTCTTTTTTTTTTTTATTAGGAGTAATTTCTATTCCAATTAAATCTCTTTCATTTGCTCCTATTTATTATTTAGTTTTAATACTTTATGATTTGTTCCTATTAATATTTAATAGTATTTTTCATATTATGCTTTTTTATTGTTACAAGATTTTCATTCATATTATGTTTTTTTCTCTGATTCATTAATAATTGAAACCGAATCACGATCCAATGATGTTAAACATTTTAAAATCAACTAACCTAACTTCCAATAAAGGAAGATTAAATAGATGAAGGCCAAACATAACAAACTAATGGAAACTTTCAAAAAGCTTATATGATCTTCAATATTAAGAATAGTTGAAAAAAAAAGTTAAAATATGGTATTTACAAAAAAAAAAAAAAAAAAAAAAATGCAGTTACAAGTTACAACAATGAAAAATAATCAAATCTTGCAACATATATAATATTTACAATATTTACACCAAAAAGGAAGAAGAAAGTTTATGCTTGAAGAGCTACGTGACAAATGGATGTTTTGAGATCATCATATCGACAACGTTGATAATCAACCAAAACACATAGTTGTCTTATGGCTTCTCTCTTCCCTTCTCCTAAACTCAACAACTCATACTCTTTCTCCTTCACAACAATCTCAAGCTTTTTTATTTTCCTCATAGCCTTTGATAGACTCAACTTCTCTGTTCCTTCCTCTCCTAGCTTCGCCTCTAGCTTCGATAGCTTCTCCTTTAGCAGAGATTCTTGTGCTTCTCTACATTCTAGCTTCGCTTCTAGAGTTTCAACTTCATGCTTCATATTGTTGTCTTTCTCTTTCACCCATTTTCTCGCAGAATCGATCTCTTTAGATAATCTCGTTACTCGGCTCACTAATTCCCCGCTTTCTTCCAGCTTCTTTATGGCCATCTCTGGTCCAGCAAGCCCTTGTTCTACCATTTTCTTGATTCTCTTGAAATCTTCTCTGTTTCCTCTGTTATCTTGTTTTTGTGTGTTGTCTCGCGTCTTGATATAGTTGTTCTTGCCCTCTAAGTGTATTTGTTCAGCTACATGGATCCTCCTGTGAAGTATCCGGATATTATCTTCCATTTTCATCCGAAAATCTTCCGCTAACTCTTCCATTTTTCTCTCGAGAAGATTAGTATTCAATTTCGAACCAAATGACCAACGTTTCATCAGCTTCTGATCCTCTGAAAACTTATCAATGACGTCTTTCTGTTCTTTCATAAGCTTCTTCTGATCCTTGATCTCCATTGATAGCCTGCAGTGAATTAAAATCAATGTTAACCATAAATTAGAAAGCTTTTACAAATCTTGTTCTTTCTTACCGTTGAATGATATCTTCTTGTTCCTTAACTTGGTACTCAAGTTTCTTACTCTTGTCTTCAATATTACTCATCTCTGAAATTTTTGTATGCAGCTTCTGATTCTCTTGCCTAAGACAATCAGTCTCAGTAATCTTACTCTTCATCTCCTCATTAAACTCCTTTCTCTTCTTCCGCAAAGTATTAACGCCTGCTTCAAGTTTCTGTACTTTGTTCCACAAGGCTTCCTTTTCTTCAACAATCTTCATCTCAGCCTTAGCCCGTTTTTCCGTTTCTTCCTCTAGACGCTTCAATCGCGTTTGCGTCTCTGAAACTTGATAGGTTTTCTTCTCCAGCTCCAATTCCAACTCCTTTTCCTGGTTACTCAACAATGCAGCTTCAGTTTTCGTCATCAACCCCTTGAGATGTTCTTTGTCCTCGTTTCTCTTACCTTCGATATCTCCAGCCACCTCTATGTTTTGATCGCGTAGAAAATTTGTTTCCTGTTTCAGATTACTCACCTGTCTCATCAAATCTTCATTTCTTAACTCTGTCTCTTGTAGCTTTCTAAGCATCACCGCATAATCCGAGCTCAATGTGTCACTAACATTATCAGCACCGATCTCTATTTTCTCTGAAGAATAGTAATCCAAATCCGAACTAGACCTCGATGAAGTAGCAGTACCCAATTTCCCTTTTCTCCCATTAGTCCCCAAATCATCAAACACATAGTAAAGTAACTGACACTGCTTATGAAGATCTTCAACAATCCCAACAAGCTCCTTCTTTGTAACCTTTGGGATCTTGTTTTTGTTTTGGATAAACTTTAAAAGTATAGACACCTTCTTCTCCACTTCTGCAGATACAACAACATATCTTACATAACAAAAAAAAATTCAAAACATTGCCTCACAAACTGTAACCAATGAACATTAAAAACCAATTCTTACCAGTTTTGGCCTCCTCCATTTGCAATAGATTCGTTTCCTTCGTGACTTATTTGTCTATAACTCTCCCCTTAAGCACAAAAAGAAAACCAACAAAAAGCTCTGAAAAAACACAAAGAAACAAACAACATCGATCAAATCCATTGGTAACTACTTTAACTTAGCATGCAAGCTAACAAAAACAGCATGACCCTAAATGGAATGTCAATAATTTCCTTGTATCACAAGAAAGTTTTCAATAATTAACCCTTTCATTAAGATTAGAGTAGAAAAATTATAAAGACTCAACATATGTAACATTCAGTATGCATGGTCCCAGAGGAAATACATACTAGAGAATTTAGAAATTGGAGAAATAAATGGTAGAAAAATTGAGACCATGTAAACTAAACGAAGGTCATGATCATGACCCTACGCTGAGAATGACCATTAATATAGGAGGAAAAAACAACTGGGTTCCACCATTGATGCAATTCAACCCTAAATTCAATGTTTGGTTCCACAGAGAAATCAATAGTTTTAGATTTTTACCGGCAGAAATCAATAGTTTTAGATTTTTACCGGCAGAAATCAGGATCAAATTTTCTTTCTTCGTGCGGCTGAGAAAGCTGACAAAGAAAGAACGAAAAAGATCTAACTTTTTTTTTTCCAAAATTTTTTTTGAAAAAGAAGATTTTAGCAAAATGGGATCAGAGTCAGATAAAACGAGAGGTTATGTCTTTTTTAGTCTAAATTGTTATATTTAAAGGTTTCTTTTTTTGGCTTAATAAGAGAGGGAATGCAAAATTTGGCACTACCTGTGTTTATCTAAATGCCATTGAAGTTGGTTTATAATTACGGAAATAACCAGAGCACAAACGAAGAGTTTGCTAAATTTCTCGTCGTCGTCTTTATATATCTCTCGATATTTTGCCCACAAGACGTGATTGGTCCAATATCCACTCGTTCAGCGGAAGCCATAATCTTGCCACGTGGCATACATCTATTGCTTGAGCTGCAAGTTGCCAAGTGACCTTATTTTTTGAGAATTTAACAGAAGTTTGATTAGCCCAGCCGACTCAAAGTGGACTAAACCGCTAACGAACTAAACCGTTCTATTTTTAAAGCGTACAATAAACTGCCACGGACCAATTTTATATCTACGTAAAAATGGTTTGTAGATAGTCCACCGCGGATTGTAGATAGTCCACCGCGGATTTGTTTACAAGTGAAAAGAAAACAAGTAAAAAGAAAAATAGTATAAAACTATACAGCAATTTGAATATCCCATTTTAACCGGCAATTAAACAAGATTCGGTTTCATACATTTCACAAACCGAACGATCAGAACAAAAACCGGAATGAAGAAGGATCCTGTTTAATTTCTAAACCGGAAAATTCGAACCAAAACGAAACATAAGAGGACAGATTTGAATTTTGTTTTGGTCCTTGAATAACAAAAATTACTGCTAAACCAGAACAGGATGAGTGACGATGTGTACAAAGAGAGGACTAAGTAAGAATACAAAACAACATCTCACAACTTTGATATAACTTTTAAAAAGCTTAATCTTAATCATCCTCAGAAGTAGCAACCTTCTGCTTCTTCCATTTGTATGCAGCTTCAAGAATCTTGAGATTCGTCGTCTGCGATTCTTCTGGGTACAAATAGTCGATGTATTCTTCGTACCTGTTAAGAGATTCAAACAATTTTTCACGTTAAGCTTTAGCAATCAACTAATCACATTCAAAAGATAACAAAAATCGAGATATTATATATAAGCAATGCGTACTCTGTTGAGCCGTCTTCTCTAGTGATCGCCTTTCTCTTCTTGAGCTTCTTTGGAAGCTTCGATTGAACAATACTAACATCCCCGAGGTTACCAAAGCTACTCTCCATGTTCAGCCAATCCTCCAAGAGCGTAGCTCGTTCTTCCTTCAGCTCTGGTGTGGAGTCTTTGTAATATGTGTTGGCTCTATCGAAAATCGCTGAGTAGAAGAAAATATAGAGAAAAAAACAGTTAAAACATGTCACAAGGAATCATCAAAACCCATATAACGTGTAGTTTAAAGTTACCTCTGGCACGTTTGATGCAGTCTTTCTTGTGTTCAATAACATCTTCTTGGTCTTCATCTTCGTTCTCGTCTTCTTCTATTTCCGCAGCAGAAGCTTCAAACTTTGCAAAGCTAACCCACACCTTGTAATGCTTAGTACGGTCCAAGAGTCGCTCATATAAAGCCCGTGTCCTCTCTAATTCCCCTTCTGATATCTCAAAATCAATGTAGGCCTGTGACAAACAATATAGGATTTCAATGATCCAATCGGTTTCAAGAGTCTGAGGAATCTCGCTTCTA